CGCTCACCGTACCACGCACATCGCTCACCGTACCACGCACATCGCTCACCGTACCACGTACATCGCTCACCGTACCACGCACATCGCTCACCGTACCACGCACATCGCTCACCGTACCACGTACATCGTTTACAAACCCATGCACGTGATAATATGTCTCGCTTGTAGTCTTGTTCACTCCAATGACATAAATGTAACATTTTGATATGGGTGCTTTTAATCAATCAATCAATTATTATGCATAAAATACATTTTATGGGACATTAGTTAAAAAATATAGCTTCGACAATAAATAGGCTTATTGCATGAGTCATGGTTGTAACATTGCGCAACGCCTATAAACGTGTGCCCCCAACCCTTATGTTCACACAAACACATCGCGATTGTCATGGGAATGAAGTTACATATTACCCTGAGCAGGTTATACCTGTGTCTCACCTAAAAAACCAACACTTTTTATAGACATAAGTAATGATTCTAAGTCACTATGGAGAATATAAATGACAAAACACATAAGCAGACAACAGGTCTGTCTCCTTTATAAAGCTGTGTCTTCACATAAAAACAAATAAATTACACAACTCTTTAGCCCCACGACTCTCGAGGAGTGATTGATTCTGATTTAGCTTTAGCCAAGTTTCCAGTCCAGTGCAGTCAACAATGATTGCCAAAAAAGTGATCGTATTAAATTACTCTTTAACGCAATGTATCCTGCTACACATAATGCAATGCGAGGCCCTGCAGCTTCTGCTGAGAACATTTCTTCCCCTTTCAACCGATAGCGAAATTGGCCCATGTGACTGTTGACAAACTAACCTCACCAATTTTTACATTTTCAGGCGTTTCGGCTACAACCACGTGATCACCATCCCGGCCGGTTCGGCGCGGATTCACGTGACGCAAATGTCGTCGCCTCCATCGCCATCGGCACCGTCCACGTCGTCCCCCGACACCGCGTACCTGGCGGTGCGTGGGGCGGACGGACGCTACCTTCTCAACGGGCAGCTCGTCGTGACGCCGGGCAGCCGAGACATCCGCCTGCTGCCCGCTGCTGCTGCCCAGCGGACGGACAGCGCGGGCCGGAGCAGACGCGGAGCGGCGGGCGCGGGCCCAGCAAGAGAGAGCGTGATGCTGTACAGCGGCGCGTTCTCCAATCCCGAGACGCTGAGGGCGCTGCTGCCGATTCCCGAGGCCCTGTCGCTGGAGGTCCTGTGTGCGGGCAGCGGGGGCAAGAGCAAGCTGCCCCCCGTGTGGCTCAAATACTCGTACGCTGCGCGCAGGACTGGGCAGACAGACACGGCCAGAGGGCAGCAGCAGAAAGTCAATAACCAGCAGGGAGAGAGTAAAGGGCGTGAGGAGAGAGGAGGCATGGTGCAGCAAGACGGAGGAAACCAGAAGGGGCAAGAAAGACACATTAATGCGCAGCAGGGAAAAGACCGAGTGCAGCAGGAAAAACATGATCAAAAGCAGCCGGGAGAAAATATCAAGAGGCAGAAGGGGAAGAGTAAGGGTCCACATTCTCAGAGGCCGCAGGATAAAGTGGTGGCTCGGAGTTCCAAAAGTGGAGACCAACTTGACGGGCAACACAGGCCGGGCGTGCAACTCAAGCCCGTCGGTAGAGAGGCTCACGTTGACTCCAGATCGGAGGGGCGGCAGTTGAAAGGACATAAAAGTGCATCGCAGCAGGTCAAAGGTCGACAAGGGAACGGTAACTGGAAAACACATCCCACCAAAAGCCAACATAAAGGGAGCGTGGTGTCCTCAAAAGGACAACTGAATAAAGGTCAGCAAGGGAAAGGTCAAGAAGACGGCAGACAACATCTCAGCACGGGGGAGAGGAGCAAAGCATGATCACGATAATAAAGGTGTGAACGAAGTTGGTGTAGATGATGGTGAATATAAGTGAATGATGTAAAGATGATAACATCCATGATCCAGACGACAAGGTAACTCAGATGGTGGTGGTGATGATGGGTAGCAGGATGATGAAGTTGACAATCACGAGGTGTGTGGTCGTGATGTCAACATTGAAAGTGATTTACTGTGAAATTGTCAATTCGACTGCAATGTAGGCTTCATGCCAGAAACTTTAAAAAAACAGTATCTTTTAATTGCTCATTTCACTGTGGATACATTTTGCACTGGGCATAAGGTTCCGTTTCCTATTTGATGCAGTAACTTCCGCATGGCATCATTCCAAAAATCTGTGATGTACTGTACAATGAACATTAAATATCCTCGTATGTCATCACACGTTTGAGAATTACCAATGAAAACGTTGAGCATTGATAACTATCCTTGCATATCCAAATTAAACATAGCTATTCGTACCTACATATCTTTGGGTATCCAGGTTTTCCTTGGAAAAGTTATTGTATCTCAGGATCTCCCTGATTTAATAAAGTACTGTGTATCTAATTGAACCGACGTGCATTGTTGTCACTTTTCCATATATCTAACTTCCTTGTGGCATTCGGTCACAGCTACTGCCGCTGACTTCAGAAGATCTGGGCTCCCACGTTTGTATCTACGTTCAACTTATTTCACACCGTACGTAGCCAACCGTGCTAATTGGAGGTGCGGAGAGAGTACAACAAGGCATGTTCAGTGGCCTTCAGCCAGTGGTGGAATATAGTAGTAGGTTTTTACCCTTTTAAACTGGTACAAAACTGACACCTTTATTCAAAAACCACAACACAAGTCAAAAAAGCAAACAAAAAGAAGCAACTCTGATAATGATAATAATATGCATTGTCCTTGAAGTTGATTGGTCCACACCCGAGATGGCTTTCTTTAGAGCCTAGTCCCCATTGGTGTTGGACCAGATGACACCAGAAGGCGTACAACTCAAACACAGTGCAATATCAGAGTATTGAGAGCTCGGGGTAAGCATTTACACTATGACATCTAAAAGGGTAAAAACCTACTACTATATTTTGCCACTGGTAAAAGAGATCTCATAGTGCCAGTGGTGGAAGTCCACGTTTCTTTGGCAGGGGTGGGTCCAGTGGTTTCTCAACCTCTTCTTTGATGGCCACCTTCACTCAGTGTGACACGTTGCTAAGCAATCAGATTTCATCACCCCCCCTCCCCAAGAGATGAGGCATTTGTAGACAAAAAAAACTACAGCTCATTGTGTTGTCCCCCCCACCCGCACCTCCGATTGGCTACGTGCATTTCGAAATAAATTCAACATACATTACTCACGGGGCCTAGAGGAGGAAAGGGTCCTATGTCACACAGTTACTATCCCTTGGACCAAATGCCAGTGCCCTGTGCATGACCACTCCCAATACGTTTCGCTAGAGAGGTTGGGTGCTGCAGAGTGATGCCGAAAGCTCTTCCCGTAGACCTGTTTGGAAAGTGAGATTGAGTTCTCCACTGAAAGATAATCGTACAGTGCCTCCGGCTTGGACGACGAGGATGAAGGCAGCGATAGTGACCGCTTCAGCTGTCTGCAGCAGAGGCGGCGAGCTCAGAGGTAGAGGATTGAGTTGAGAGTGCGACTTCAGACGTTACCACTCACTCCTCCAATCTCTGGGTTGACTCGCTTAACTCTAACAGTGGTCGCAAGGAATGTAGGATCGTTTTTCAGTTAGATGTCAATGGAGTGAAGACATTTGTCAGAGTTTGACATTTGTATTTCGTATAGATCAGCCGGTGCCTTATTAGTACAAGAAATGAGACAATTAAGATTGCGTTGGAAAAAATGGCTTCTTTTGGTGATGATGAGAGCTCTAAACCACTTGGCTCAAGATAATGTGAAGGATCTCACTTTATTTCACATCGCTAAAATTAGTGCGGCATGGGGGAAATTTTGACAAACCAATCGGAAAAAAATCAGTATGACGAGATTATGAGGTATTTATGTGCATCTCTAAGCTCTTCCATTATAAATGCGTTCATGTCACGAGGTCGTGCTGTAGGCGTATCAGGTAAAGTTTGTTTAACCAGAAGAGAACTCAATACGCCACCGATAGTCTCGTTCGCAAGAGTGACTGGGTGATTAAACATTTCTTGCTGTGTTTCACACCTGATGATGATTGCTTGTATTCTTAGGTTTTTTCGGTAAAGTCACGTAGGTAAAACATCAAAATTAATAAAAATAAAATAAAATAAAGATCATTTTGATGTTTTACCTACGTGACTTTACCGAAAAAACCTAAGAATATGAATCCTTGCAGTCACGAAAGCTTCAAATCTAGAATGATTGCTTGTGTTGCAGTCGAAACGTCGTGAGAATTTTATTGTTTCATATTTTTTTTATTTTATTGTTTCCTTCTACGTGACTTTACCGAAAGAAGAACCAAGAATAGTAATCCCTGCAGTCACGAAAGCTTTAAATCAACAGAGTTATTGTTGGAATGCAGAGGCGCTCAGCCAGCAGCCGTCCAGTACACCCGACACATTCCTTTTAACACGAGCAAGACAACCACGTTCTCTATCGCAGGGCTTCGTAGGGCTTCGCACGCGCACAACGAGTCGTGTGATACGACACTGGGGCCGGGTGAGCAGCACGTAACGCGTCATCACGCACGGTCCGCACTCATGCGCGATGACGTCACCGCGCGTTAACGGCACCTCGTGGTTGCGACGCGGTGGCGTCACGGCCACGTGCGTCCAGGGGGTGGGGGTCGTGGGCGGAGGGGGGTGGGGTCGTGTGTGGAGGGGGCGTGGTCCTAAGCAGAGGGTGCGTGGTCTTGGGCGGAGGGGGCGTGGTCGTGTGTGGAGGGGGCGTGGTCTTGGGCGGAGGGGGCGTGGTCGTGTGTGGAGGGGGCATGGTCGTAGGCGGAGGGGCGTGGTTGTGAGTGGAAGAGGCGTGGTCATGAGCGGGGGGGGGGGGCGTGGTCATGGACGGGGGGCGTGGTCATGGGCTGGGGGGCGTGGTCATGGGCTGGGGGGCGTGGTCATGGGCTGGGGGGCGTGGTCATGGGCTGGGGGGCGTGGTCATGGGCTGGGGGGCGTGGTCATGGGCTGGGGGGGGTGGTTACGCCGGGCGCCGCCACTTCCCCCGCCGCAGACATCGTGGAGGCCGCCACCGCAGCCTCGCCACGCACGGCCCGGCGCCTCCAACCTCGCGCGGGTTAAAGTAGCGAACGAAACGAACTCGCGCGAATCACCCCCCTCTTCCACAGGCGACAACACACGCGACTGAAAGCCGAGGCGAGTCTACGGCGATGGCTCTGCTGCTGAAGGGAGTGTGCGTGGCGGCTCCGGTCGCGTACGCCGCGCGGCGCCTGTGGTCGCGCCCGGCTGAAGCGGAGCCCGCGGCGCCGCCGCCGGGCCCCGGGGGCGAGAGCGGTGGGGAGCGCGCCCTCATCTCGCTCGTGCAGGTCGTGTTCCGCCACGGGGCGCGGACACCGCTGAGCCGCGTCTCCCACCTGCCCGAGGTGAGCGAGGGGGGGTCTCGGCTCGGGCTTTGGTGGCGGTGCAAACGCACCGAGGCCCAGGCGCTGGGGCAGCCGAGTCGGGGCAACATTGGACAAGGACTTTGGTGGTGGTGGTGGGGGGGTGTTTAAGCATTGGCATGGGGGGGGGGGTGCGAATAAGCTACGCCACCATATTGGGTGATTTGTTGTTGCGAGTGCTGCAGCGTGGAGATGGATGTGGCCCCGTGGTTTGCTGCTGCTGCTGGTGGTGGCGGTGCTGCTGCTGTTGTTCTGTGTCGGCTGTGCGAGATGGAGAATGGTTGGAGGGGGGGGGGTCCTTCTTGCTTGGCACGTGGGTCCGCTTTGTGGCCCACGTAACGTGGAGTGCGACACGTGGGGGTTGGGTGGGTGATGCGCGCAAAGTGAGTGGATGTGGTCTGGTGGCGCTTGTGGACGAGGAGTTGGTGGCTGCTGGTGTTGAATTGACCTTTTTAAATCACGAGCCATCCAGTTTTCAGTTTACATTGAAGTGAGCCCTGTAACAAATGTGAGCCGTTAAGATGCCAGAATTATGTAACCAGAAATGTTCTCACCTGCTGGTTCTGTTCGTGGTCACCTGATGTCTTGTTCATACCTCGGTGGGCTTTACCTGGTAAGATAAAACAACATTTACTTTAATTCGTGTGTTTTTAAGTGATTTGTTTACCTTATCCTACACGTTGCACTCCGACCTTGTTTTCGTATTGTTGTAACTTTCTTACCCGACCCGAGTGGATATTTGTAAAAAGCAAAAAAGAGCTTTGTAGCTCATCGGATTTATCCAGTATAACTATACATTGTGATTCTGTATCCACGACCACTGGGAAACGCGTCTCTGCCAGGATAAGCAGGGGGTGGACATGGGTCTGTGTGCCCATGCGACGTGGGGCTGCGAGACTCAATTTCTTCGGTGACTTCCACTCCGTTTCCACCACCCCCAATTCCTCTCCTGCCCAAAGTATGGACCATGTTTGTAAAACTACCGACTGCAGTGTGCGCTCCTTCAAAATGGCCTCAAAGTGCACGTAGCCTGGCACAAGCGCCATGGCCGACGTCTTAGTAATAATAAATTAGACGTACATTGTAGCGCTGAGTGCTGTACACAATATGCATGAAAATAAAAAGTAAGCATTAAAACCCATCAATTTAAATGTCTAGTAATAGTAGTAAAATTAGGTGAAAGCATTCTTAAATAGGAATGTTTTACAACATCTCAATCACAGTCCAATCCCTGATGTCTTTTGGCAAAGCGTCCCAGAGTGGAAGGGGCGGTTGTTGATGTTGCTGATGTTGAGGTGCAGAATTTACGTCGTGGATTGCCACCCCTTGATGTGTCTCCCAAATACAGCAATCGTTTCGCGTGCCCCCCCCCCTGTTATCGTTGCCGCCGGTTGTTCTCGCAGGTCGACTGGCCACCGTCCATGCTGGAGGCCCCACCGAACACGCTCTTCCAGTACGAGGTGACGGACCTCAATGGGGGCAAGCAGCCTTCATCCCCCCTGGAGGACTCGTACCAGGAAAACCCTCTGCCGGTGCGTTCGCCCCGGCACTGTCTCCGCACCGCGCTCCGTGCTCAAATTAATGATTAACTCGCTATCACTCTGCCACTGATTTACTGAAATGTGTTGTATTTTCTGGGCATCGCTTGATGAAGTTTAGTGGGTGTACTTTAACACGTAGGCTTTCGCGACCAATATCATCCATAAGAGGTTTTTTGGGTTAGATCACGTAAATATATAAAAGTGTCGTTAAAACCCGCCACCACCCGACACAGCCAACTAGTAAGGGTTGTCACGTAAACAGAACATTCCAATTCGTCACTAGTACAGCACACCGGTGTTTTGGAGAGCGAAGCCACAACATTTACAATCTGAGTACGACGTTGCGCCAGTAATTACAACTAGCTTCATCAGGAGACGGACAGATTTGTGGAGAAGTCTAACTGTTTAGTTCCTTATATAAAGGCGTAGATGTGGTGACCATGCTTCTGCGCTCTTGCGCCAAGTGTGGGGGGGGGGGTTACTGAGCTCTTGCACCAAGTAGGGGGGGGTTACTGAGTCCCCCCCCCCCCCCCACTTGGCCCAATATCTGTATGTACGATATCGGTATGTACGATATCTGTATGTCGATTTTAGCCGGAATGTTGTTGCGTTGTCTTACAGGGCGGGTGTGCGCGAGGCCAGCTGTCCTCGGTGGGCATGCAGCAGTTGTACGAGCTCGGCGTACATCTGAGGGAGACGTACATCAACGGGTGTGCTCTGGTGTCGCACACCTACACACCCAGCCAGGTTTAGTGAGTATAGCATGTTGCAGCATGTCCACACTAGGCCACGTTCCGCATCACAGGGAGTCCACACGCTAACAACAACAACTAACAACACAAAAGCAAACCCAGCAGCACAGCACCCCCACACCTTGCTGTATATTAAACCTCACACAACATCAATGCACACACCACTGGATTGGTGGATCACGTGGCTTTTTGAAACTCCAAAACCCGCTTGGCTCGAAATGGTGGCTAGGAAATGGCAGTAGACTGAATGGATTCTTGATTCTGTCTGGGCGCACCTTTGACTGTTGGATTTTTTCTTTATGTGACAGTTTGGAAACATGCTTACTAATGTCAATTGGCCAATCAAACCATTTCTGAATACTGAAAGAGTTTATATTGAGACTCAGTGAAGTTTTGATTAAATACAGCATATTATTATACCCACACCTCGCATAAAATCACACCCATCACCAGACATCATGACGAATCAAGCAACACCACATTCGTGAAGTTAATCATGCTTTGTACTGATTTTATCTTGGTGTGGTGGTATGCTTTGGTGTATGGTGTGTTTTACGGCTGTGTGTTGTTGTGATGGTGCATGGTGATGCAACGGGGGTGTCGTGTGTGGTCTTACGTGTGGTGGTTGAGTTTGGTCGTGGCGTGTTGGTCTGGTGGTGTATGTGATTTTATTTTATGTTGAACCGTGGTGGGTGTTTCTGGTGTGTGGTGGTATTGTTGTGTGTTGGTGGCATGTCATTGTAGTGTGCGCTCCACCAATACGGCTCGTACAATTGAGTCTGCACGGTGCCTCCTGGCCGGCCTCTTCCAACAGTCGCAGCTCGGTGAGCGCCATGTGTGAGAGAGTGTGTGCTTCTCAAGGTGCACCTAGCCTGGCACTTAGTGGTGAATGGCAGGTATTGATATTGGTGCTTCTCAGGGAGTATGTGTGTCTATAATGGAAGAAGTGCTTCATCTAGTTGAAAGAGAGTGGCAGGCCCATTCTCACCATTTATCATACAGGTGTTTTTGGGCTCTAATGCTCTGCTCGTGATCATTAAGCATCTTTGCGATGGTTGTCAGGCCCAGGTAAAGCTCTATGACAGAGAAATTCCCTGTTTATCTTGGGTTTGTTCGGAATATCCTCTGGCTCCTACAGGATTCAACAATGTGGTAAGCCTGTCATGGCTGTATCAGTGGAATTTACATCAGTTATGTATACAATGGGAGGCTAATGGATAACCATGTACGATCAAGAGATGGCACTATATTGTTCATCGATATCACGTATGCTGATGACCTGGTCATTGCTGTCACCTCTGAGAAAGAGTTGGAGACTTTGCTTCTGAAGGTGGAGTTTGCCACTAAAAGGTGGGAGGGACCTCACCTATCTGTACCACCAAAACAAGCCACCTGCTTGGGTCCCCTGTATAGTAGAACGCTCAAACCCCGCCACTCTGAGTAGTGGGGTTGGTTATGGCGAGGATGGAGGAGATCCTCTACCTGGGCAGTGTGCTCATGGCCACTTCTGGCTTGGTATCTAAGCTATCACTCTGAATCAGTCATGTGTCACTATTGTTTCATCAGCTGTGTAACGTTGTGTGGAAGCGACCTGGCACTGCACGAAGACTTCTCGGCCATAATCATACTCTTAACGAATGGTTATGTGGCGAGTGCATTTTGAGCTCCGCTGCACGTACTGGTATAATAGTCGGCGGTGTGCAAGGATAGTGATTTTGTTAGTTAGTGGCGAACATGTGGCGAGTGGTGTGATGTGTGTTGCGAGTGGTTTTCGGTGTGCATGGTTGTCTGGCTGGCGAGTTGCTGTGCGCATGGCGAGTGGTATGGTGAGTGCGTGCGGTGGTGCGTGGTGTGAAGCGCAGAACCGGCTCGGATCCACGTGTCGCACTCTCTGGCGGAAATCCTCTACCCCAACATGCACGGCTGTCCGCGCCTCGGGGCCATATACCAGTGCGTGCCCTCCCCATGGGGATGTTGTGACTTGTTGTGATGTGCTGCACTGTGTCAGATTGAGAAGGGGTAGCATGCTGCCTAGAAATGTGAAGTTGGCGTAATGTTCTATGGTATGGGAAACTTTCTTTACTGGGGGATAAATAGGACTTTCAAATATCTTTCGTGGGCATTCACACAGTAACACACACCTTGGTGTTATCTAATAATACTGGTAGGAACCCACTGGTTCCACCAGCCCACAGGGGATTATTGTGTCCGTCCGTCGTGCAGGGAGGGGCTGGGTGGGGAGGGGCTGGGTGGGGAGGGTGGGGAGGGGCTGGGTGGGGAGGGCTGGATGGGGAGGGGCTGGGTGGGGAGGGGCTGGGTGGGGAGGGGCTGGGTGGGGAGGGTGGGAGGGGTGGGGCTGGGTGGGGAGGGGCTGGTCACCCCGTGGTGCCCTTATAAAACTCAACGTTTAACCTACTCACGCCGGCTTGTGCCCGCCCTCACAGTCGGGCATATTTGCGGAATACACCACGCCGCCGTTGACCCTGGACATTGACCGAGCAACCCAACATTCCTACCAGCTCCCTCCGCAGGAATGTGTTAATTAGGGCTCACCTTTACAGGTGACTGATTGTGGTGGTTCCATATTGACTAATATATTCAATTAACATTTTGCCTAGCCTTTATAGAAAAGCATCCGACTCGGAAATTAGGGATGTTGAATGATAACCGTTAACCGTTTTCTAAATCAATGGCTGGTTCAGAAAGTCGGAAGCTGCGAATCAACTCCAGTGGAATCTTGATTTTAAGCTTTCATGACTGCAGGAATCCATACTCTTTGGTTCTTTCGGTAGAAAAATAATAATAGATCACGACGTTTCGATCGCCACACAAGCAGTGGAATGTTAGTAATGAAGGCACCAATTGGCCCACGTGATTGGACAATGGGCACGGTGGCCTAATTCACTGTGTGGTACATTTGACCTCGCTTTTCGGTTAGAAGGTAAAAGTGCAGCCTCGCAATTGTTTCCTTGCTCGCACCGCTGCTGGTGGAAGAGCCTCCCCTGGAGGGTATTTGGACTCCTCTTCCCCGCTAACCAGACGTGTTGCAAGAGTTGGGCATAGACTCGCACTTGACCTCACCACAGACGACCTACCAATTGACTAACTTTGGTATACCTATTTATATTGCTGGATGCGCAGAAAGCCCGGGAAATTCAGAAACTTGCCCAAATGTTTCAACTGCTGTGCTGGGAGAGGGAATCGAACTGGTGACCTCTGGATTGTCCAGTGTTTTAATCTTCACACCACTGCACCTCCCTTCGTTTGTCATTTAAAAGGGCAAAAATGTTACATGTATTGCGAGAGACATTTGTATATTTGCGGCAAACCAGTAACCGCTTTTAACCGTTTCTTTTCATGCTCTTACCGCTCATACAAAACAACCGAGTTAGCCACCCTAGTAGAGATTGATGCAGTCATCCAAGCTGTCACAAAGCTGTATACCAGGCGAGGTACTTCACATCCCACCACCGGTGTTGCTCTTAAGGACTCTGTGCCCAATGATCCCATGGCCCCTTGGCCAGTATGCATGTGTAATGTATTATTACATTATCCCGCGCCCCGTGGTCTGATCCTGTGCAGGCAGGGCTGGAAAAAGTGCCCCGAATGGAAGTTGCTGGAGGAGCTGCTGCCACCTCCCAGTCCTCACGCCGCCCCAGAGTCTCCTTCCAACTTCGTCGCCATTAGGGACGTCATCGTCGCCAGGGAGGTGTGTGGCGGGTGGCCCGCAGGCTGCCTGAAATCTCAAAGTCACCGTTTATATCCAAATTGTATTTTACGTTTGCTGTGGTGTAAAGTGGGTTTAGTAATTGGGTGGTGTGCGAAGGGTTGGGATGATGTGTGATTGTATGGGGTGGGTGTGTCTGTGGCGCGTTGTAGGCCCATGGTATGCTGGTCCCAAAGGAGCTGTTAAGGCACAGACATGTGATTGACACCGGAGCAGTGACCACCATATTGAACATCCTGAAGACCTCTCAAAGGTACTTCACTCACCAGAGCTGGCCGGGTGACTCCGGGGCTTGATGCAGAGTTTAAAATTCAAATGTATTTTCTTTAACCAGGTGAGAACTTAGGAGATCAGTATAGAGTCTAATTTGCAAGAGTGACCTGGGGAATTAGTCTGCCAGTAGGGGCGATGAGTCCGTTAAATCGATTAATCAGAAAAACATTGTAATTGACCTCTTTGTAAGTGCTGGGGCTCGTTTACAAATGGCAGTTGCCCCAACATCCTCCCTGGCAAAGCAGGGAAACCCCCTCAAACCACGCTCAGCATCACGTGGCTGATCTTGCCGATGACATCACCAAGCACCGCCAGCATGAGAACAGATGTGACAATTTTTTTACCCCAACTCTTTTCATATCTTCTTGGTTCTTTCGGTAAAGTCACGTAGAAGGGAAATAATAAAATAATAAAAATCAAATATAATAAAATAATTCTCACGACGTTTCGGCCACAACGCAAGTAGCCGTCCTCAGGTGAAGAACAGGTCTGTCGGAAAGACAGCATCTGAATGAATGAATGACGCTGTCTTTCCGACAGACCTGTTCTTCACCTGAGGACGGCCTGCTTTCGTTGTGACCGAAACGTCGTGAGAATTATTTTATGATGTTTTATTTTTATTATTTTATTATTTCCCTTCTACGTGACTTTACCGAAAGAACCAAGAAGATATGCAGTCACGAAAGCTTTAAATCTTTTCATATCATCCGAAGAGTCAATTACCATTCAGCAAAGTAACTAATTGCTTAAATAATTGGATATCCAAACTCTATAAATAATAGAGTTTAACTTATTTGGCATTTTCTATACAAATATGTATTTTTTCACGTGGGTGGAAATACTATGATGATCTTTGCACTCTTCTCAAATTTTATTTCTTGATGAAATTATACAACGGCATTGATAACGTTTGCCAATCTGTGGCGATGTTTTGTGCCTTTTGATTGGCTCAAATGTTCTGTGTCATGGTTTGTGCAGAGATGGCCTACAGCTCTGCATTGGACGTCTCCTTGACACGCTCCTCTCCAACATCGACAAGTATATGTGTGGGAAAATGTGAGCATCAACTCTCACCACGCACGGCATATCGCTCCAAACTAACTAGACGTATTCAACAACAACACGACTCGTCTATAAAAGAAAAAAAACATATAAAAGGCAATGTATTGGGTGTATACAGAGCACAAACAATATACTTTATACTAAAGCAAAAACAGAGCCTCATATTTCTTAACAGCAATGTTTGAAAATACATTTCCTTGTAAATACTTAGTATATAGATCCACTAATTGTGTTCCAACTGTTGGTTCTGTGTATTTATATACCCATAATTATTCCATTTGGTCCAGGAGCTTTCTGTTGAATGGGATACACTGTGTATATTAACACTGGTTTAACATTGGCAATATCACATAGTGTTATACTGCTTTTTAAAAGTATTGGCAATATATATAACTGATAATTTTGGTTTCTTGATGTTGAGACTTGAGAATAATATTAGGCGTCGTAGAGTCCTGCAGGAATGTGTGCTTGGTATGACAGTGAGATGTATAAAGAGGAACACGTTCGGAGACATGAAAATCATGAACGGCGTATTGACTTATAGTAATTAGCCTTGGGCAGGACACATAGCTAGAATAAATGATGACCAATGAACAACAGTTGTGTCCAAGATCACCACCACATGGATGGACCAAGGAGATCAGTTCATGTGCAGAAGCGAGATGGATTGTAACATCACAGAAGCATGTGGGCTGGTTCCAGCATAGGGAGGCTTTCATCCAGCAGTGTATAGGCAAGTGAGGAGGTGGGAGGCTTTGGTCCTGCCATGGGGCGGAATGTCGTTTGGGGCTCTTGAACTACATGATGTAAACTTGGATGACTCCAACCTTTGGATATGTCCGGTCGCCACAGCTGTGTGTCGTTTCTGTTTGGTGCGGTGCTGCGCAGGAAGGAGAACCTGGTGTTGTTTTCGGCACACGATACGACGCTGCTGCCGCTGCTGGTCGGCTTGCGTGTGTTCGACGGGCGGTGGCCACCGTTCGCGTCGCACGTTGCCATTGAGCTGCACGTGGAGCCGGTCTCCCGCCGCGCGTTTGTCCGCCTCGTGTACAACGGCAAGGTGAGCATGGCTGGTGAGCCGGGCAGGCCGGCAGAGGCATCACCACCACGGGTGACACTAGGTGGCGACGCCTTGGCATTTGGGTGCCACGGTGGCGAGATGTTAACTACCTCGCATGGTATACAGGAGGTCGTGGCTTCGATCCCGACCATGACCCCTGAATAGTTGGAGTTTGCATGTTCTCCCCGTGGTTGTGTGGCTTTTTCTCCGGGTCCTCTGGATTTGCCCTCCACATTTAGAAACAGGCCTTTAGAGTATTTGGCTGCCAAACAATTACACACGATAAGCCACTTTATTGCGCTATCATTTGTGGCCCGGTTTCTTCTGAAAAAGAGCTATATAGCTCAGTGGGACCTGGTAAAATAAAAAAGTTTAAATAGTTTAATCTAGTGAAAGTGATTCAGCACTACCCTGCTGCCACCTGCTGACATGCTCGCACAATTTTCATCCACTCCGCACAAATGCGCGCGCATGCTCATCACCGTTGGCGACAGTCGGTCGGCTCGCGCTACACGATCGAAATTACTGTCGACGCCACTGGGGTGTGCGGTGAAGGTGTGATGTGTGTTGTGTGACATGGTGTGGTTTGCTGTTGCGTGGTGTTGCTGCAGGAGCACCGCATGCCGCAGTGCAGCGCCACCCTGTGTCCTCTGGAGGAGTTCCGCGCGGCTGTCGCTGACTTGGCTCTTTCGGCCGAGGAGTTAAAGCACATCTGTGACTTGGATTACAAGCCCACATCTCCTCCTCAGTCGCCACAGTCCACGTCTTCAGCACCGCCAACCACACCATCACAATAATCACAAACCCAGTCAACACTGTTAACATCAGCTCTGTCGACACTAACGCATGACTCGGCAACACAGTATAATTTCCATCGCAAGCGCCATCAATATAGCCATGAGCATGGTGCAAAAACAGCATCATGAATATTAGATCATCAACACCACCACAAACAACTTTGCTTGTGTGCTAGCCAGATTGGGACGTCAGCCCCACATTTTCCAAACCCATACAAAAATTATTCAAATACGGCAATTTACAGCTTCCGTCGTCAACGTGCTTAGCAACGATCACCCTAAGTTCCTATGTTCATCCTAAGTGTGAAGAGAAAACACATTTTATCCTGAACATCGACGAGACAGCCTCTGTTCAAGCCAGATTATTCCCGGAGGCTGAGGACTCGTGTCGTAGGCTGAACATGGATCCTCAGGGAGAAATCGACTGTAGCGTCTTGTTTATTATTGTTTAGCTTGTGTCCTTCCCCCGTGCCTCCAATTAGCAGCCGGGTTGGTTACGTATAGTGCGAAATAAGTTCAACATACGTACATTATCTCCTAACAAAATAAGTACCATATTCTGAGTTAAAGAATCTCCGCAAAGTGTAGGACGCACCCCAAATTGTAAGTTGTACAAATCTGGTCTCAGGTGCGCCTATCACGTAAGACGACTTTTGCTTTAAAAGTCTTGGTTAAACGCGTCTTGTAACCTGGAGACTTTTGTACTTGCCGTTGCTCAAGAGCACATGGCAGCATGGTATTCGCATTCTATTTAATGAATGAACATTTTAAAACCTACTTTAAGTGCTGATCTCTCAGTTGAGTAGGTAGATATGTGCAGTAGGTTTGTTTCTGCACATGGCTTTACATGTGTTTTGGTTTGGCTTCTGCGCTTATATGGTCTCCACCATACAAGCTACATTTCCCACGTGGATGCATTGCGATTGGAAGAGGAACGAACATGATGTGCAGTGTCCCTGTCAATTATATGAGGAGAAGAAGAAAGTAATCAAATGAATTGGAGGTTGAAACAAACATGAACATATTTTAATTAAATATATGAAAAGGTATGTCCACTGTAGTGAGACAGGTGTAGATACTTTATGCAGTCATGTTTTCAATCTCCAATCCCCCAGGAAAATGTTTTTATGTAGATTAGTGATTTAAGTGATATTTTTAAGTCTTTAATTTCATCTTCACCAAAATGTTATTTACAGCTTGTGGCATTGACAGAGAATAAGCGATAAAAAGAAGTAGAAGCGATGTTCATCTCCACTGAAGACACCAAATGCCACAATATTGATAACATTTAATCATGCTTTATTGAGGAATTTAAGTTAAACAATTAGCCTTAGGAAACGTGTGTGCAGACTAATCCAGTTTTGTGCTTCGTTGCAGCATTCACTCGCCCTGAATATAAAGGTGCAGCCCTGAAATTCCCGTTCACGACACAGCTGGTGAAATGGTTTCCAGTTAGGGCAGTTGAATGCAACCAATGCAAGAGGGCAGTAGACGCTGCATGGATTGCAGCAACACCGCTAGGATGTACATGGATGGCGCATTCGTCGATGACGCGTTTGATGGTTTGAAATTCGCCAAAGTCGCAGGACGGCGATTCTTTGATCTTTAATTTGTAGAAGGTGCACGTGCATCTCCCATGTTGCATTCGAGGGAAGTCCAGTAGAAGGAGCTGTAAATAGACCCTCTAGGTCAGTGTTCTTCATTAGTTTTCAGAGGAGAGGGGGGGGTACTTTCGCCAATAAGACAAGTGTGAGGACTGCGACACATTTGAAACCATTGGCTTAGACCGCATGGTGGGGTGTTTTCACATTTGTAATGTTGGGGGCCGCACGTTAGGTGCCGCACTACAGGCCACCAGGGTCCGCCAATGGCCCGCGTACCTTGCAATGAAGAACACTGCGCTCGATGGCATTTTGGCCAACGCTTCCATGGCCAAATGTCTTTGAAGAGGTGGGAGCACCCACACGTTCCCCTATTTCCTGTGACCTGCCACTTGTGTACCCATTTACTGCTGGGTGGACAGGGATACTTAAAAAAAAGCTTTTTTTTTCCCTTTACTGCTGCACCGGTAGATAGAACCAGCGACCTCTGGATAGCAATTCCAGTGTGCGATAAATGACACCATGGCAACACCGATAGGCTTTAATTTTAGTGCTTCTGTTATTGCTCAACAGCAAAGAGGGTGCTCGTGAGATGCTGCTCTGCAACGGCCACGAAACAGTGATACTGCTTATGGCGACATGGCATTAGCTAGACATGTGATGACATAATCCTTGTAACATTCCTAGGATTAATTTTCTTCATTATTGTTTACAAGTTGAAATTTACATTGTTTTAATTTACCCAGGTTTTTAAGCTTTCTATTGTGAACAGAAATGAGTTTGCACATGACAGTTGTACATGACAGTTTGATTATGGTGTGTCATTTACATGGCACGCCGACTTCTGCCAAACCGAAGCTGAAATTACGTGCGATTCTTACGACTTTGAAATTGTGCATTAAAGTCAAAACCATTTTACATTATAAAAGGTCTCCAAAAATACAAGTTTACCAGGTTTCTCTGTTAGTATTGACACATCAATGGGCTCCTGCGTGTTTGTATCATAGTAATTCTCAATATAATCGCAATCAACAATGCATTCTAATGTTTACTGGACTGTTTACCATTCACGAGACACTTTTTTGTAAACATGCAGCTAATTGTAAAATATTAAAAAATAAATTAATGACGTTTTGGGCAATGGGCTTGTCCACATCCCCCCCCCCCCCATGCGTTTTAAAGCAAGGATTTAAATCTGATACATTGTAAGATATTTTCAAATTACATTGAGGTGGATATTTGGCTCAAAAAGCGTACGTTAATGTGCATGTCACAGCCTATTCCACTGAATGTGGTTTGGAATCCTGGTGTTGAGAAACATTTTTGTAATGCACACAAAAACAATTAATGAATTCAAAGTTGGTGCTTATCTGCGTTGGCAGTTCTGAACAAGTGGTACCATTATGCATCACTATGTTAGAGCTGTGAATTCAACACTCGTGCTCCGTTTGTTTCATTCCAGCTCTAAGGGCTTACTAAGTATGCATAAAACACTCCACTTGCTCAACTGAATAATTGGAGAGTGCCATTTGTATTCCTTAAGAAGGCCTCTTGAATAGTGTAAAGCAAATTAACTCATGGTATGATGACTGGGGAGGCCTTATAACAGTGGATGGATAATAGTCGTTGGTAAATGATTGTAGTTTTAACTTGGTGGTATTGGCATGGGAAGCCTAGCCAGAACAACACGCTCATTTTAATCGCAAATTAAAATTGTAGCAGTGCACATGGTACGTGTTTATCTGTGTACTTTCTGTTTGAGTGCTTTTTAATTTAATGGGATATTGATCCATTGTTTTTGACATTACATTTTCAAGATGTATATTTTTTTTATAACGGGTAGTTTCTTGCAAGATTCTGTAATGTTAACACCGATTATCTCATCGCCATGTCTGGAAATATTTATTTCCGTTTATTTTGTGGCAATACTGTAGTTCAAATGAATGTGGATGAATTACAATGTTTTAAACAAATTGGGTGGAAAAATATGCCTTTCACAAAGGTGAGAAAAAGAGGTTCGAATATATATTTTTTGCACTGGTAGCAAATCTAAAATGTTTCACAATGTAACTGAAATGTTTAATAAATCCATGTCTCCGAGGAGAATAATGCTCATTGTGTCAGTTCTAAAGGACCCATCAGCCATGTTCCATCCGTTGCTGGATGAAGTGATCACCACTTCGTTACCACTCCCCACGGTCCAACGAAGCCACAGGCCATCTCGCTCCCCACACATGAGCTAATCTCATAACTTAATCTTCACGGAGGATATCTTGCCAATTGTTTCTCCCATGGCTGCCATTCCATTACACGTCTCCATTGTTCGCCGCTTGTTCGAGGTTCACCGTTCAAATGAAACATATCATTCGCAAGAGGAGGCCATTATGTGCCAATCTCATGGGTCAAATTTGCCAAATATTAAATGTCACCTCAATGGGAATATACAAAACATCATCGCCCCCTACTGTGAGAACTTGGCATGACCCTCATAAAAGGCCGTCACGAGACTCGCCGAGGCTTTTTTTGCGTGAGTAAATAAGCTTTGCAATAAAGAATAAGGAGGGCCATCCACCTTGAATAATTATTGACGCCATGAGACAAAACAACAAAAACAAGGCCCCTTGTCGAGCCCTCCCAGAAACGTGGTCGCCATGACAACGCCCCCCTCCCAGAAACGTGGTCGCCTGACAACGCCCCCCTCCCAGAAACGTGGTCGCCATGACAACGCCCCCTCCCAGAAACGTGGTCGCCATGACAACGCCCCCCTCCCTCCCCGCCCCCCTCCCTCCCCGCCCCTCCCCCCCTCGCGCTCCCATCACGCACCGCGGCCCCGGCCCCTCCCCCCCCCTCGCTCTCAGCATGGCGGCCTCCATGCCCGTGCTGGATGTGGCGGTCCCCGCGGGCCCCGCGGTGTCCCTGGTGCCCGCGCCTCACCCCCCGAACCCCGTGCCGCTGGCCGCCTCGGGCCCCGGGCACGCCTGGAACTGGCGCGCCGCGCTGGCGGTCGGCGCGCCGCTGCTCGTGGTCGGGGCGGCCGCGTACCTCGTGTGGCGGCGACGCGCGCTCGGCAAGAGGCGCGAGCCCGAGGGCAGCGCCAGTCCGCCCGGGCCGCCCTCGCTGCCCAGCGGCAAGGGGGGCGGCGAGGCCAAGGAGAGCGAGAGCGAGGCGGGCAAGAGCGGCGATGAGGTGAGGAGGGAGACGGTGGTGCGTGGTGTTGGGATGGCGAGGCGAGGCGTGAGAGGACGGGCTGCAGGATGACAGGCGTGAGACGGGCGTAGAGTGACAGGCGTGAGACGGGTGCAGGATGACAGGCGTGAGACGACGGGCTGCAGGGTGACAGGCGTGAGACCTGGTGCAGGATGACAGGCGTGAGACGGGCTGCAGGGTGACAGGCGTGAGACGACGGGCTGCAGGGTGACAGGCATGAGACGACGGGCTGCAGGGTGACAGGCGTGAGACCTGGTGGAGTGTATCAGACGTGAGATGCGATGCAGGGTGACAGACGGGAGACTCGGTGGAGGGTGTCAGGCGTGAGACGGGCTGCAGTGTGACAGACGGTGAGACGAGCCTTGGGACTCAGGAATGGCCTGTAAGGTCAAACACAGACGGCGTGTCACGCGGGTGTTTGAGCGATTGTCCGGCATTAGCCTCGAGGATCACTGCGCTCAAGATAAATTCATTAGGCGCGAGATGTATGCATTAGGCGGGAGGGTAAGCGCGTTAGCTGGAAGATTAACATCGTCTCGGTACTCCGACCTTCGGAATGAGAATATAGAGTATCGCGTTCGGCGTTAGGCCTGTTTGATACTTGATATTACAAAGCAGTGCTAATTAAGACGTTGGTTGAGTTTTATATCGTGGTTGAGTTTTATATCGTGCTTGTGCATCTCTGCCACAGCGGTGATTTATTTTAATTCAACCACAAGGTCAACTCAAACGCTCACCCGTACGCCACTCTTATTCGCCTGGAGCACAACCCCACAGCCATTTCCTCTTACCACAGCTGTCACTCACGCCGCCACTATTCAATCTCTCGCATTGGCCGCACTCAAACGTGGGATGTTGGATGGAGCCGCGTGACGCTAGGCAGCAGAGATCAGGGTTTCTGGCTCCACAAAGCGAGCGAATTCACTTAATCCCATGGAGAAGGTGGATTGAACGCATGTTGCTACTGCAACCCCAAATGCCTCCCCACCGATGTCTGCTATGCGATGTGTTTGTAGTATGCTTTTTTTTTTTTACCAGGTGAGGTTCTGCGGCGACGCACCACCTCTGTTGATAGGGACACCTTCACAAATTGTGCTGTGTGCCACTTGGCCACCACCACAGGAGATTGAACTGCTTCTGCGCAAACCGTTCTAGCCGGCTCGGTCATTGTTCTTACAATAACATTTATGGGTGTACATGCACCAAGCGAGTTCTGGGGGGAAATGTCTCTTATTCAGCTGTTGGCCTGTGTGGCATTGCTACACAGCGACTTCAGGTGATGGGAGTGAATTTGAAGTGGAGTGACAAGGGCCCGTGTTGAGCAACCAACGAATCAAATTCCCGACCGAGGCTAGCGTCAATGGGAAATATATGAACGCGACCAGGTCTCGCTTAGGTCGACTCAGCCTGACATATGAATACCTGGTAAGGTGCGTACACATCATCACTGGTGAGACAATGACAGCTTGGGCCTGGTGTTGGCCACACCCTCCCCTAATGCGCTGTGCTGGCCTTCAAAGGCACTCGATAACAACACGTGTCCCAAACAGCCTACGTAGGTTACACAGAGGATATTTATCTTTGCAGCAGACCCCGCTGGAAAAGGCACATGCCGCCAAGAATCGTGGGAACCGACTGTTCAAGGCTGGGCGCTTTGCGGACGCTGTTCAATGCTACAGCCAGGCCATCACCCTGGGTGTAGGTGCCACCAAAGAGGAACTCGCAACCTTTCACCAGAACCGCGCGGCCGCCCTGCAACAGATGGTGGGGCTACGTCATCAACACTTCCACTTGTACTACACTAATGCCTGAAGAATGAGCCAAATGTTTATATTTATTTACATTAAAATGGATTAGTATTGACAAATTCCTTTCATGTTAGTGCACCACCGCCAATTCAGTTTCTTAATTTGACGTTTCTGTTCGTGAGGGAGTGTTACTGAGGAATGTTGTTTCGATTATTTAGATTTGGCTGCTATAAATTTCCACATGATGAGATACTTTGTTGAGCTATCATTTGTGGGCAGGTCGCTTCTGAAAAAGAAGCTTAATAGCTCGATGATCTTTACCTGGTAAAATAAATAGCCATTTTTTTGTGATTTTTTTATTTCCTATACGTTGCACTCCTATCGTGTTTTTGGTATTGTTTGTTGTTGTAAATTTCTGACCCATCCCGACTGGACATTTGTAAAAAAGAGATTTATAGATCATCACATTCCTCCAGTCTAAATAAAGATTCTGATTGTTTCTCAGGGAGACTGGGACGCCGTGCTGTCTGACTGTGACCGTGCGCTGGAGCTGCACCCGCGTTACGTGAAGGCCCTGCACCGGCGAGCACGCGTGCACGAGCAGGCCGGCAGGCATGCCCTCTGCCTGGAGGGTACACCACACACACACACCATGAGATGTATACACAACACACACAACAAGGTTGCACTCATTACACACAAAATGCTTGCCACAAATGAACCACAATACCTTGGTAATCCCGTCAAGGATCATAAACCATCGCGCAAACTCCGGTCATCCTCACAGTGGTTTCTGGCTAGCCATCGAAGATCACTGCATCGCGTGCTTTCAGATGCGCTTCTGCGGCCGTCTGGAACGCGCTTCCTTCCGATATTCGGAAACCACTGGAGCTATGCACTTTTAAATCTAGATAGAAAACTCATTTCTTTAGAACTGCTTTTTGTACTTGGTTTGTTCTTCTCCTGTACCCCCGATTAGCATGGTTGGCTACGTATGGTGTGAAAGAAGTTCAACATACATACATACATAGATACACAACACACAGTACACACATAGACATCCCAACAGTCGGCATTCACCACTAAGAGAATGGCATGGTCACTTTGAGGCCACATGAAGCGTTGGAATGTTCGCTGACAGAAGGTCACGTGACAGATGTAATGGTTAACTGACTGGGATAACTGGCTGATAACTTAAGCTCCTCACTGTTTTACAAAGGCAAATGCATGCAAGATACACACCATATGCACCACAGGCTTACACTACACGCGCCCTTAATACATGCTTAAAATTGCGTGAGAATAACTGATTTCTCGTTTCAGCAAAGTATATTTATATGGTACAATTAGGCTAATGAAATAGTCAGAACTGTACAAATGGGACTAAATAAATGTGAAAAGAAATAAAAAAAATTGCGAAGAATCGATTATTTAATTAAATCGTTACCCCTAAATTGTGACCGTTCTTCGAATCACGGGGGGTGAAGAATTACATCGTTCACATACCTTTTTCTGTAAAATCGTAGAGTTGTGATTTTCCTATGTTGTGGTGTGAAACATGACTGGTTTGTGGTACGGATTGGTGTAGTTTAATGTGGTTTGGTTTGGCAGATATCACAGCAGTGTGCATCCTGGAGGGATTTCAGAATCAGCAGTCCATGCTCATTGCTGATCGCGTTCTTAAGGAGCTGGGCCGCGAACGGGCACGTGAGCGATACAAGGTACAACCCGGCACCAGCGCACTACCCACCAACACACAGCACTAGCGCACTACCCACCAACACACGTCACCAGCGCACTACCCACCAACACACAGCACTAGCGCACTACCCACCAACACACGTCACCAGCGCACTACCCACCTACACACAGTACTAGCGCACTACCCACCAACACACGTCACCAGCGCACTACCCACCAACACACTGCACCAGCGCACTACCCCCAACACACAGCACTAGCGCACTACCCCCAACATACGGCACCAGCGTACTACCCACCAACACACGTCACCAGTGCACTACCCACCAACACGTCACCAGCGCACTACTCACCAACACACGTCACCAGTGCACTACCCACCAACACACTGCACCAGCGCACTACCCACCAACACACAGCACCAGCGCACTACCCACCAACACACAGCACCAGCGCACTACCCACCAACACACAGCACCAGCGCACTACCCACCAACACACTGTACTAGCGCACTACCCACCAACACACGTCACTAGCGCACTACCCACCAACACACAGCACCAGCGCACTACCCACCAACACACGTCACTAGCGCACTACCCACCAACACACTGCACTAGCGCACTACCCACCAACACACTGCACCAGCGCACTACCCACCAACACACGCCACCAGCGCACTACCCACCAACACACGTCACCAGCGCACTACCCACCAACACACGTCACCAGCGCACTACCCACCAACACACGTCACCAGCGCACTACTCACCAACACACGTCACCAGTGCACTACCCACCAACACACGTCACCAGCGCACTACCCACCAACACACTGTACTAGCGCACTACCCACCAACACACGTCACCAGCGCACTACCCACCAACACACTGCACTAGCACACTACCCACCAACACACTGCACTAGCGCACTACCCACCAACACACTGCACCAGCGCACTACCCACCAACACACAGCACCAGCGCACTACCCACCAACACACGTCACCAGCGCACTACCCACCAACACACAGCACTAGCGCACTACCCACCAACACACAGCACTAGCGCATCACCCACAAATACACAGTACCATTTTGTGGTGTTCCCTGTAGGGCACACCACCTTGTGTGAGGAATCTTCGACATCATTAAACATTGTGGGGTACCACAGCACCCAGAATTATGACACTATCTCACACTAGACAACTCCACTATTTTGTATAATGGAACATAATGTGTGTCATGACATGATGTGCCTCTTGTGCAGTGCTATTTTTATGTATGCATGGTGCACGTTTACATTTAAAGAACGCAAAGTTATTTTCGAGTATTTAGCCTTGTCTGCTTTTGTATATCTCTCCCTGTTTTTTGTGTGCGTGTCTATTCCTCTTTTGTGTGTTTCCGTGTTCATCTTGCTTCACGTGTCTGTCTCTGTGTCTTTGTGTGTCTCTCTACCTCCCTGTCTTTAGGGCCCTTTGTCTACACAGGGTTCCACTTGCTATTGTGAGGGCTCTGCTCGTGTGTAATACATCAGTGTGGGTAATTGTGCATGGTTTGAAATGTATTACACAGTGCGTATAAAGTGTTGCTTATGGCGTGTAATGCAGTGTCCTATATAATGTTGTGTGTTGTGATGTGTGTATTCGAACCATAATGGTTTTATGACACGTGATGGTATGATGAGGGTATGGTGACACTTGACGGTATTATGCAATTATTATTATTATTCACTGTGCAGGACCGTGAGCCAGTGTTTCCTTCAGCCCAGTTCGTGCAATCCTACTTCAATTCCTTCAACGAGGACCCCACCCTCATCTCCGAGACCGATGGCACAAACCCCATCCAGGATGGCGCTCCCAGGTTGGCTGGTGTGTTGTCCGGTGTGCCCTGCAGCCAATATGATGAGAAAATCCCATCGCAACGGAAACTTTATTGCAGGCTGAAAACAAATATATTTAACAACAACACCGGCCATTCGATACTAAGCGGTGGTGACATCACCACGGCGCTTGTGTCAGGCCAGGTGCACTTTGAGGCCATGTGAAGTGTCGAAGGCTTGCTGACAGGAGGTCACGGTACAGACCCAGGTGTCATGGGTTGACTGACTGAGATGATTGGCAGATGTACCAGCTGTACCCCCAACTATGCCAACTTGCTGTAGGTAGTTTAGCCGCCCGGCGCTCCGCTCATTGATGTAAACATCGCTCCTCTGCCCTCCGTTAAAGGGCGACTGCCTTCAACTGACTTAACAACATGCACACAACACAAGTGCGTGTGTGTGAATTGCATGTATACAAGCTCTGAGCCTTATCCAGACCACCCTGTTCAAAAGAATTGAATGTGTGTCTTTTTTGTCAATTAAACCACCAACTCAAACATTGATGACTGTACTGACGAGGCCTAATCGGGACAAAACCAGTCTACAGTTGTGTCTTTGGTTCACTGCTACCCATTTGGAGAGCCAGATTTTCTCAACTATTCGAGTAAGTGGCCTAAACAACAAACCAACTACATGTTCGGTTCTTTTGAGCTGGTGGTCTGGATAAGGCTGAGAGCTTTTGTACATGTAATGTGATCTTACGCTTAAAGTTTGTGAAGTTAATGTAATTAGTGTGGAATCAATTGATGGAGTGGCTTTGAAGGTTCAGGGGTCTATGGATTCATCCATAACTGACAAGAATGATCAATTCCTGTCTTGGTTGGTGCGCTGACAAGATGTTGCACACTTATGCATCCTCTCCATCTACATAGAGATGGAAAAACTAGTGGCTTTAGCCATACAACAGGTGCATCTCAGTAGCATGAGAAGATCTGCAGATGGGCGTATTCTCAGCAGGCTGGCACCCATCAGGGTTAGCCTCTGCATAGCACATTTGTGAACAATACTGCTGGACACTTGAGGACACTTGCTATCCAATGACTAAGTTCAACAAAGCAATGCTTTAAACCTCATAAGGGCATTGATAATCACCTGGTGATGATTGGAGGCTGCTCTAGTGTGTTCTTGCGTGCGTTTGGGTGGTTTCATGTGTGCAGTACGCGTGTGCGTGTACATGCGCTCACAGCACTTGCCTCAACCGGGCGCCATGGTGGCTTGATGTTTACTACCTCGCCTCATATACAGGAGGCGTGGATTCGATCCCAACCCTGAGGCCTGTATATTTGGAGTCTGCATGTTCTCCCCGTGGTCGTGTGGCTTTCTCTCCGAGTCCTCCATTTTTCCCTCCACATTTAGAAACATGAGTTTGGAGTATTTGGCTGCTGCTATACATTTCCACGTGATAAGCCACGTGTAAATGTATAACATTTGTGGCCAGGTCGCCTCTGAGCTATATAGCTCAGTGGGCCTTACCTGCTAAAATAAAAATCGTTTAGTTAAGTTTTTTAGTCTGTTAAGGCTATACGGGGGATCTTCATCTTTGCTCCTGCGCGTGTGCTTGAGTGCAGCTCCGCGTACGAGCGGGCCTGCGAGCGCGTGCGTGCCGGCGATTACACGTGTGTCATCGCGCTCTGCGACGAGGAGCTGGGCGATGGCTCCGGCGAGGGCCCCTGGGGGCCCAGGGCGCAGCTGCTGCGCGCCACCTTCCAGCTGCTGTCGGGCAGCGCGGTGGCCGCACAGGTCGACCTCGACCAGCTCATCGACAGCGAGAACGTGCCAGTTAAGGTGGTGATGCCTCCCGTTGTTGTGTGTCAATGTCAGTTCCTTGTGTTCGTGCATCCATGGTTGCTCACTCGATGTGGCTTTGTGTGTTTGTTTATTCAAGCATATTGCACCTCTGTTACTGTATCATTCACTGTGCTTGTTTAGGCGCTGTGAACACCAAACCTGAAAAGTGAACACATTTTTTTAATGGGACCTGACTGAGCTCTAGATATCGGGTCAGAGGAGAGTTATGATTATTGAAAGAGCTCATACTAATAGTAACTCGTTGGCTACTAAGGTTGGTCAGTGGCCAGGCTAGTGCTCAGGGCTGGTTGGGTAGTTATAATTATATGTACTCTGCCTGTGAGCTCTTTATTCCAACAATAACACCGTGCAATTAATATTTAAAAAAATATAACAGGTGAAGTTTTGGGTAATGGGCCATTTTCACGGCACGTTGACATTCCAACCACTGGCCTTTTCAGTTTGTGGCCTTTTTCATGTAGCTTAGAGCACTACACAACGCTGTGCTGTATGCTGTGTGTTGACCCGCTCGTATGTTTGGATATTTTGTTCTCTGTTCTCTTTACATCTCGGAGACTCTTTGCCACTGTTTCTGTGAGTCCCCTTGCTTTCACGTCCGTGAGCGTGGTGCGTGTTATGAATCTGATGTACGTTGTTCGCAGGTGCGTGTGAACGCCCTCATCAAGCGCGGTAGCATGCACATGCAGTCGCAGGATGTGGCGCGCTCCGTGCAGGACTTTGCCCGTGCCCTGGAGCTCGACCCCAGCAACGCCGACGTGCACCACCACCGCGGACAGGTGACAGCCCCACGGCACTACTACTATCACGTCTGTGGTGGCAGTAGTGGTCCCTTATCTCACAATTTACTGTATTGTTCGGATTATAAGACCGTCCGAAAAGTAAGATGCACCACAAACTTGTGCCCATGTCAATATAGTTTTACACGTGGTCTGGCACCCACACACCTACTGGATTATAAGATCCACCCACCAAATGTTGCTTTAAAAAACACGAGAAAAAGCGTCTTATATCTCGAGAATATGGTAATATTGTTGGTGTGGTTGCATAATTGTAAAGTTAAAGGAAGATTCAACCAGAACACAAACAGCTCTTATCTTGTTGTTACATACCTAGGCTGTGTGTGTCTCAGGCTGCCTGGCAAGAGCTTGAAGTTTCATGATGAATATGAAAAGAATTCTTTAAAATGATCGTGACTTGGTGTGATGTGGGGAGGTGTGGCTTGAGAGTGACGGGGTGTGGGGTGATGCAACGGGGTGTGTTTGTTGTAGCTGCACATCCTGCTGGACCGCGTGGACGAGGCGATGTCTGACTTTGAGGAGTGCGTACGGCTCAAGCAGGACTTTCCCCTCGCACGCGCCCAGCGTTGCTTCGCTCAGGTGAGCACCTCACTCATTACCACGCTCGCCACTTACCACACTCACCACGATTACACTATGCTCGCTATCACCGCCACTCTCCACCACAACCACTCACCAGGTCCGCACTCACCTCATTCATCACCATCACATTCGGTCAACACATTGATCACCACTGTATCTCACTCACCAAACACCCACCAGCTCCACATTCGACACGCTCTTCATCACTACAGCTCACTTAACAGCTCCAGACGCTCGAATTGCACATTCACAATCTCCACTCTGAACACCATGTTACCACACTGGCAACCCGAGTTTGATTTCTGCTCATGGTCAACATCGGAGACGAATATTTGAATCGGTCCTAGGCCTCCCCGAGGTCAACTGGGCCTCAAATTAATACCTGGTGCTGTGTGTAAACATCACAACTAGGGGGACAAAGGTGGCCGGGTGTGATGCTGGCCACTCAGCCCCTTCATAGGTGCTCACAAACAGCACTTCTGTTAAGTGCAAGTCTGTTAAGGCTATAGGGGGGATCTTTGTTTTTGCTACATTGCTCTCATGCCACTGTCCGTGCACTGTGCTGGCGCAGTACCGGGCAGCACTGTCCCACTCCAGTCCCTCGGAGATCCAAGCATCCATGAAGGCATTCGACAAACTCATCCGCGACTGCCCCCGCTGTGCCGAGGCGTACGCGCTCTACGCACAGGTGTGTGTGTGTGTCCGCATGGGGCAGTGCTTCCACGAGCATGCAAAGTGTGTGTGTGTGAAAAGTGTGTGCGCCAAAGTTGTGGTGGCAGTATGATTACCGCACTGCGATGCGAACACGGTGACCTGGATTGGATCCCTGGCGGCAGATGACGTGAGTGGCAAGTAGTATCTGCACCTGTGTTGGGCCTCACCTCGGGTCGATTGGTGAAGGCATGCGTCAATATATAGCCTATTGTATTCAAGGTTTCATCTTCGCGGGCTTATTGGAATCAAAAGGCATGCGTTCAATAGCCACCTGTTAATAAGTTACTCGTTGTTGCTTCCACCTCTTATACGCAATGGTTCGTGGTGATGAGTGTTGACTTGCTTGGTGTGCTATCGTGGTGTAAACGTGACGACATCTCATGTGTGATCTAATGCGTGGTGGTATTGTGATGATACTTGTTTGCCTGTGGTGGTGTTTGCTTGTGTGATAACATGATTCGTTATGTCATCTCCAGGCCCTCACGGATCAGCAAATGTTTGACCGTGCCGACGAGATGTACGACTCCTGCATTCAGCTGGAACCGAACAACGCCACCACTTACGTGCATAAGGGGTGCGCACACCTTCCTGTACCTCATCACACACCTCAAAACACCTCATGATGGACCGCACATGATAATGTAGTCGCGTCATACATTCTACAACACATATCGATCGCATCGGCACATACCACACAATACACACATCGCCAAGCTTGCTAAAATACATCACAACATCCTGTTTTATTTAGTTTCACTTTAATTTACAGTATCATTTTCAGTTGTGAATGGCTGTGCTGGTAGATGTGGTATTATATTGCGTGGCAGTGGTGGTGACTGTGGATGTGGTTGTGATTGTGCTTCAGACTCCTGCAGCTGCAGTGGAGGCAAGATCTGGATGCGGGCGTGCGTCTCATCTCCCGCGCCATTCAGATCGACCCCAAGTGCGATTTTGCCTACGAGACCCTCGGCACGATTGAGGTTCAGAGGTGAGGGAATGCACCAGTCCCCGTGTTATCAGTGGACACGCTCTGATATTAATTTGACATCTCCCTTGAATTATGCCGGTGTGATTGTGTAACATGTTAACTTCGTGTATGCGGTGTTTTTGGTAGGTCATTGTTTATTGTGATGTTATGTTGTGATGGTTTGATGATTGTGGTGTGGTGTGCGTTTTATGAATTGGGGTAATGTAGTGTGATTTTTTTTTACACGTTTAGGTGATTGGTATTCTTGTTTTTTATGTTAGCATTGGTCATGTTGCAGTGTTGATATGATGGGTTGGTAGTGGTGATGGTGTGGTGTGTTGTTGATGGTTTTGTGTATTGGCATGATGTTTTGGAAACAGTGCATGGTGGGTGATGCTTTGTTCTGTGTGCGCAGGGGTAACCTGACACGTGCAGTGCAGCTGTTCGAGGAGGCAGTGACGCTGTCCAAGTCTGAGATGGAGATGGCACACCTGCTGTCCCTGTGCCACGCAGCACAGGCCCAGCTGGCAGTCGCAACCAAATATGGGCTCGTGCCATCCAATGTCTGATTATGCAAACACTTCACCTCTCATGCCACGTACACACAACATCGCTTCTCGTCACTAAGTCTGATTGCACGCGCACGCCAACGCCACCACTCGCACCACACATATGCTACCCAACATCTGACTGTGTGCACGGCTAATGGCTCTCAACCACATTTATGCAACTGAATAATCAGTGAGCCCCAATGTCCAGGTCTCTCCTGCCCCATTTTATGTTGTAATTAATTATAACATTTTTCAAGAGGACTCTACTTTGGCATTTTAGGCCAATTCCTCTTTCAGGAGTGCTGTCCATGTGGGAGAAAACCCACACATGGAAGGGGGGTTAACATCCAAAAGTCTACACAGATGAGTTCACAAGCCTACTTTGCCATATTACCATCTGATGGCCATATGACAGCCAGCCTGCCCAGAAGATTTAGTGTTTCACAAATGTATGTGATCCTCCAACTCGTGCCCAGAAAGCACTTGATCAAAGAAGCAACTCGTGCACACCTGCTATTCATCCGACCAAACATTATCTTGCGTGAACCACCACATGCTGCACCACCGCACATAGGCATCATAACACAGCATCTTGTCATACATCACACCAATGGACAGGTCGACAGCACCAGATGCCATTGTAGGAAGCATGAGAATGAATGTTATAATGTGAAAAAATATTTAGTTGCACTGTTAACATATCGCATCAGTCACGTCCCATAATGTTTATCCTGCATCTCTTGTGTGTAACCCGAGCAGTGTCTGTTACCATTTGTGATATTACCACCCTCATAAAATCATTTTCCGAACGCCAAACAATGAGCCATGTTTCTTGATTCCCCTTGCCTCTTCACTCAGCGGTGTAAATGGACACTACATGTAGTTGATTGGCTGATCATGTTTGCGAGAAAGTGTCGGTATTTTTCTTTCTTTGTGGAAGTGTAGGCCAATTACTCTGCAGAGGGGCTGTATCGAGCTCCAGAGTGGAGACATTTCCAATGATAGCATGAGCAAAGAATTGTAGGGTTGTAGCACTTTTATATGAAGCTACACGCAAATGTACCAACAATACTCCTTGTGGAGGCCTTTCAAGCAGCAGTAGATTATGGACGGCAATTCGTAGAGCTGCTCGATAAAACGTGTCCGTGAACAATTTGCCGATAAAGTCACGGAAAACGCCGCAGACGCAAGCAGCAATGTTGATTCCCCACATGAAATTAGCCTATTATGCATGCAGCCATGCTGCCAACTTTAATTTCCATTATGCTGCTCGGCTGGCTTTGAGTGGGGATGTACAGCATCAGGCATTAACCACTAGAGTTCAAGGTCTGCCAATCAATAATATGTTACACCCGATGTATCACCGCAGTAACACGAGGACAAGCTAATGCTCAACGGATGCGGCATGTCAATAAATTCCCATGACATTACTCCAGACTTCTTGTCTTCTGCCATGAATACAGAATGTAACACCATGCTACAGGATCGTGCCCGGTCTGTAACCGTGGCGAGGTCCTCCATGAGCCGAGAGACCAATTAAATTGTCCGTATCATTAGACGATCCCAACTTCCACGTGTCCACCGATGACCTGCCCCCATTCTCACTGCACCAGAAGCCCGGCTACTGCCAGAGGTCGCCCGTTGAACTCCCTTATATACCCCCCGCGGACGACACGTGGCACCGCACCACCAATAGGAGCGACACAGCGCGGCGGGGTGGGGGAGGGGTGGAGTTTGGCAGGGGGCGTGTCCTCAGCCTCACTTCGCGCTCCCCATTGGTCCACGTCCCTCCCCGCCCCGCCCCTCCCGCCCCGTGCCGCGGTGACGTCACGCCACCCCCGGCCTGGTCTCTTCGCGGCTCGGCTGGGTGAGTTTGCGTCTCCGTGCGGCCGCTGTGAGCAACTAGGGACGCGCGGCTCTTTGATGCCCCCCCCCGTCTCCCCGGTCTTCGCTCAGCCACTCGCTCGCGTCGTACAGACGGCTAGCGGCCGCCACGTCGCGCCACGTCGCTGTTTCGAGAAGACGGCGCTCCTGTTTTAAATTCTGCTCCCGATAGGCTCGTGACGATTGATTCCCCTCCCTCCCATCCGGCGTCGAACGAAATTTCCGTGAATCGATTCTCGCTTCGGTAACTCTCATCTCGCGGCGCGCTGGTCGCATCGGGAGTGCGAGGGACGTTGTGGATTATGGTGTAGTGGGACGAATGTGTAAACATCTGTTGTTGTTGTTGCCGCCCTAAGCCGGTCATGAACCAACCCCGACACGGCCTGGCGGGCACGATTCGATCCGTTCCGGTGTTCGCCGAATCGAATCGTTACACGTCTATTTGTGGGTGTTCAGTGGCGGGGGAGCGGTGGCGCAGCGGTTAGCGCCACGCTGCGCTCACAACCCGGCGAACCCCCCGAGTTCGATTCCCGCTCACGGCCACCTACACCGGTGACGATTTATCTGAACCTGTACTGGGACTCCCCTAGGTCGACCCGGCCTCAAATGAGTACCTGGTGCGGTGTGTAGTAAACATCGCCACTGGGGAGACAAAGGCGGCCGGGCGTGGTGCTGGACACTCACCCCCCCCCACTCGTGTGCCGTGCCGGTCTTCATAGGCGCTGCTCGCTAACAGCCACTTGCCCCAACAGTCTGTTAAGGCTGTACGGGGGATCTCTTCCTTTGTTCTGTTGGTCACTCGTCTCCGCCATAGGAACGCGGAATTACCACCACTGACCCCAGAGCTGTCAATGGGGGTCAAGAGTCTGACTCTAGAAGCTGCATGCGGAACTCTATGGAATTTGCTGACGAGTTGTCTCTAGCGTATTGCAATGGGCATCAATTTCCCTTCGCCCTGGAAAGGTCGCTATTTACATCCTAAATAGAATAGATAATTAATTTATTAGTGGCACTTTCCCTCCGTATTTTAAAGCTAAAGTTGGTAGTGTGTCTTATCCGGCGTGTGTGTGACCAGAGTTGTCACTTCATTAATATCGGGCACAACTTTTGAGTGTGTCTCACTTTCCGGAGCATCTTCCGCAATATTCTGTGCCGTAATTTGACGTTGTAACCTAACGCGTGTGTGTTTAACTTGAATGTGTTAATGACTTAAGCTAAAGTGTAGGTGGTGTGTAATATGTAGACGATGTTCAATGTTCGGGTAGTGTTCGGCATACCATTGGGCCTGATGAACCGAGTTTCCCAGCTGTGACGTGGTGGGGAAAACATTGCCACTAGTCGGGCAAGTGGAACAAAACACTGAAAAGTGGACAAAGGAACATACGAATCGGAGCCAGTGGACGAGACTGGTGATGGAATGACGGTCGAAGGAGGGGTGACCGTGCCCTGGGAGGGTGACCAGCACAGCGATGGAGCAATGCAAACAATTCGTGTGCAGGAGATGGATTGTGGGGGTTGGGGGCTTCATCGGTGAATAGATGAGGGCTGAGGATGACGAATGGTGGCTGAGTCGACTCCCAGCCAGGGTTTTGACGCACACTCTCAGCACGCACTTCTACTAACGTGTGTGTGTATGTATGCGTGCTTGCGTGCACCAGAAACTCTTTCGGCGATGGCTCTCCCCGGCTGCCTGCGTTCGGCGGCTATGGTTCGAACCCTGGCGATGGCGACGTTGATCACAGCGGTGTTGGCGGCCGCGACCGGGGACGAGAGGCGGTCGTCGCGCGTGCACGAGCGGCCGCTGAGCGAGCACGTTCACGACGACGATCACGATCACGAGTTCGACCACGAGGCGTTTCTGGGCGCCGAGGAGGCGAGAACCTTCGACCAGCTGAGCCCCGAGGAGAGCAAGGAGCGTTTGGGGTGAGCGCCCGTGGGGAACGGCAGGTGGCTATGGCAGTGGGTCTTCGAGTACTGTGCAGCTGGGCTGTAGAATGCGGGTAATGAATGCAGTCACATTGCCAGACTCGTACTAGGGAAGGGAACCGAGCTAGGACGCTGGCGGGAGATCTGAGTTACGTGCCAGGTCACAATCAAGACATCTGTGGTAAGAACTGAACACAGTTCACTCGCTTCTTTTGTGTGGTCAGTGAAGTGCAATCTTTGGAGATTTATTTGTAAGTGATTTAGCGTTTTCAATTGCTTTGAGGCAGTGTATCTGCAATTCACCACCTTCAAATGGATATTTGGGTTAGTGCAAAGTTACCATGATCCACCGTTTGGTGTTTGCGGCTGCATTAGGTATCTTCATCTTGCCACAATCTATGTGATTGAGAGAGGCATTCACTCATCGGCAGCGCACACTGCTAGGGGGAGGGAGTTGCAGACAAGAGAAGCAACCTTCCATTGAGAGGTGGTGGACTGGGAGATTTAACAGGAGGTGTCAGATGCTGTCATGGAGTGGAATAGAGTAGAGGAGGATGATGATGGGAAAGATAGGTTGCAGCCCATGAATTGTTTTCAGTTCTGCACATTCATCTTAACTGTCTACGAATTGCATAACCCGCGCGTGTGGCATATGACCCGTGCCGACCGTATCCCAGGATGATTGTGACGCGCATCGACGAGAACGGGGACGGGCTGGTAACGGAGACGGAGCTCACCGAGTGGATCCGCCACTCGCAGCGGCGCTGGGTGCTGGAGGAGGCGGAGCGGCAGTGGAGCAGCCACGACCTGGACGGTGACGGCTACGTCAACTGGGCCGAGTACAAGAATGCCACCTACAGCTACCTCGCCGGTCCGCAGACACGTCCGCGCACGCATGCATGTATAAACACTCATTAATGGAGTTTGACGAAACATCCCAGAGTAAATCGTTATCTTGATCAGAATCTTTTTTTATCCTGGAGGAATCCGATGAGCTATGAAGCTCTTATTCACAGATGGCCAGTAGGGGCGGGTCAGCAAGTTACGTATGTATGTATGTTGAACTTCTTTCGCACCGTATGCCACATTGGACAACAAAGCTTGACCAATTATCGGCTGTGTTCTGTCTGCTTTAATGTTTGTGGTTTCCTGTGCCTCTGAATCGTTCTCTCTCTCTCTGAGAATTAATGAAAACTTTGTGCTTTACAAATTCTCCATTATTATTGTAATATACCCACACATTCACCTATCGGTTCGTGTGAAAATGTGTTTGCATATATGCCACGAACATACTTGGTTCATATGTTAGTGGCATGATGGTAATAATAATGAGTTTTTGAAATTGCACCCTCCTATAGGTCGGGGCGTCTCGTAGCGCTTGAAAAGGCACCCAAAGTCAGTGACAGCTGTTTCTGTGGGCGCAAGGTGACCCAGAACTTGGCCTGATAACAAACAGTCTGCTAGTAGGGGGCAATTATTATTGTTCTATAAAAGCCCAGTTCAGTAAATGTTAAGCACATTGCATTTGTAGTAAATAGGCATGCGTGATTTCAAATTTATTGTTATGAAAATGATTCTTGCAACGAATCTTGTTCGTGACAATCGATTATTTTGCAATTCGTTGGTGGTGATGTAGAGGAGGACCCCGAGGACCCGGACGGGTACCGGGCGATGGTTCTCCGGGACGAGCGCCGCTTCCAGGCAGCGGACGTGGACGGGGATGGGCGGGCATCACGCAACGAGTACGCGGCCTTCCTGCACCCCGAGGAGCACCCGCACATGCGCAACCTCGTCGTCACGGTGCGAACCTGCACCGGACGCTCGCACTCACCAGCGCCCTCGTGTTGCTCCCACCACCCCCGACAACTCCAGCGGACGTTGAACATGTGCACTCAAGCGCACGCTGCAGTGGTGCTCGCCATCAACGCTGCCTATATTTAGCCTAAGCTGCAGCATACACTGCGCCATTTGAAAGTATTAATGGATGCCGACACAATGGAACACGGCGGCTGACATTGACGCTCACCAGCACCCACCCACCGCATGGACACTTTACGAGCACAAATGTACAAATATTTAAAGGAAGATGCAGCCCAAAAAACAAATATATTGTAGATGGATTACATATCCAGGCTGTTTTACAGGCTTTTTGACAGATGTTCATAAGCTTCATTCATGGACTTGAAAACCATAATCAGACATGCATCCATAGTGTGCTTTGGTCTTCTTCTTCCTACAGCTGTGTTGATGTAAAGCAATATCTATAATTTTACTTTGAGGTAGTATGAGAGCGATATCACTAGAATGCCTTGGTGATACAGCTGACAGTATATTGGATGCAGACACTTGTCAGACACACCTCCGCAGTACTTAACAATATATGTGCTTGTTGGGTCGCATCTCTAAATAGACTGGCTCACACAATAGTGACGCTTACCACATATCAACACTAGCATTCTCCGCAAACTCGCAAACACCAGCTTGAAAGTAATACCATCAGACATCACCGACACACCTGGAGACATCAATCAACGCACTGTGCATGGATGCTTAGAAAGATCCGCACAAAATACAGTGAAGCTTAAAAATCACAGGCAAACAGAATCAGAATATGTATTTATACTGGAGGAATACACCTGGAAACTTGTGCCTGACCTGGTTGGCGAATCCCTATTCGTGATCTAGCACTTCTGATGCAAGGGTCGGTGAATCGTACAGGTTCGTGAAAGTTGCAATCCCGCTGGATTCAAGGTGGCCAGGAGGTGCCAGTACAGCAATCGGATCATTTTAGTCCATCTGTGTAAACCTTTGTTTTGCGTCTTGTCTCCTCGTGTGTATTGGTTTTCTGAAGATGCTCTAATTGCCTCCCAATGTACAAAATAAACCACTCCTTAATATGGAATTGGCCAAACATCCCAATGCCAAGACCCTGATGAATAAGAGTCTTGAGATTCAATTCATTGAGGCTATCCGGGACAAATAAAATGTGGTGCTTATAATTTCCGAGGACCTCTTGGCAACGTACAGCTCGTTAACACGAAGCCTGGATTCTGATTTCAGGAAACCATTGAAGACATTGATAAAAACGGCGACGGCTTCATCAACGTGGATGAGTACATAGGTGAGGGATGCAAGACAACACGCACGGACACCGCTGTGTCCTTGACAACCCCACACACATTCATAAACCGGCGCATCCACTTGCACGTCTACGCTCAGCCAGTGCTTGTACACGCACGTACCCACCTGCAGATCACATGTTTTCTAAACCCATGGCACATATGGACCCACAGTGCGGACGCATTGCCCTGTCGTAGAGAATACACTTGTGTGTACCAGAATGCAGACCACGTGCAACTGCACAAGTCGTTCCCGAACGCAGCATCTGTAATCACGTTCCTCCCTAAGCCAGCACATGCATCTGAGATTGTCCCTTCCTAACCCAACACATGCAGGAGTATGAGCGCCTCCTTAACCTAGCACGTGCCCCTCGCTAGCGCCAGAACGCCCACCTGCATGCGTCCTCCCTAATGCAGCACATACACATCTCTCCCTCTCGGGTGTAGTATACGTAGCTACACGTGGCCTTCACTGGACCAGCAGGTGCTGCTGCATGCGCCCGTCTCGGGTCCAGTATGTTTACTCACAAGTATCACGTGCTCCCGCTTGTGTCCCTCCCTTACCCACCTCTCCTCGGCTTACCCACGCCTAACGCAGAACGTGTTTGTGTGCGCGTGCGCGTCCAGGAGACATGTACAGCGAGGAGAGCGAGGAGGGCGACTCCGAGTGGGTGGAATCGGAGCGGAAGCAGTTTGCGGAACTCCGCGATACGGATGGCGACGGGCTGATGGGGCATGACGAGGTGGCCGCCTGGATCCTGCCCGACGACTACGACCAGGCCGAGGCCGAGTCCAAGCACCTCATCCATGAGTGCGACGATGACCAGGTGGGACGAAGGGCGGTGCGGAGAGGGGGACCGGGGGAAATGCTACCTTGGCGGTTGTCTGTAGTTCTGTAATTGTTCTTAACTTGACGTGGAGTTGAATGAAGGTTAAATCTAAAATGCAAAAAGCTCTTCTAGAAACTTGCCTCTGTGCATTCTAGTGAAACGTGAGTCAATGCAGGTGTCAATGTTAAACAAAATTTACAGGGGCTGTTTTTTTAACTTGCATACACATTGAAGTCAAAACTGTTAGGGGATGGGCTTGCAGCATCGATGCCATTGCATTGACGATTGATGTTATGCTGTTCGTGTTGCTGATGGGCGTTTTGTCTATTTACAGGATGGGAATCTGACGAGGGAGGAGATTATAGCTAAGTACGACCTGTTTGTGGGCAGCCAGGCCACAGACTTTGGGGAGGCTCTCATGCGGCACGATGAGTTATGAGCCGCACGCACACACGCACACACGACGTACACGTGCATGCATACACTCCTCATGCACACATGTGCTCATGACACGTGCTCATGACATGTGCACTCGCATCAATCACAATGCCCTTTTTGGCCTCGGTGATACTGTTTGGACAAGCGCTGTTAGAGAATGCTCATGAAGGCCAGGGCAGTGAAGCAAGCAATATGCAGCCTTGACCACTTTGGTCTTTTCTTTGCCGATCGATGTTCACTTGCTGCACCAGGTAATCAGTTCAGGCCAAGTTGACCCGAGGGGAAGCCCAAGTAAAGTTCGCCAGTGTCCTGTACTAGAAGTTGAACCCCGAGTTGCTTGGACCGTAACATTGTATCCTAAACATCGCGGCATGGGAACCCATTGTCGTGTCACAGACTGACACCTACACTCACCAACACACGCAGCGCATGAGTAACTGTGTGCATACTCCACTGCACGCACGTGCATTATATCCGCGTGCACACAGGTAGATGCCCGTAAACCATGTGCACGTCAATAGGCACCACACACTAGGGCAGAAGCACATGTATGGTTGCAAGGCATACATCATGTAGCTGACAGATTACTGGCTCCCACAATACAGACCACCCCAAGCCAATGTAAACCTCCCCGAATCACTCGATGCCAACCCAGTCCAGGCCTTCTAAAGCCATCCCGTGTTACCAGCGGGGTGTGTTCAGTGTCCCTCGGACCTTCCAGGGCTTACCACATTTCATAAGCCGAGTCGACACACGAGCAAACTGTTAACTCTCCGTCTTCCAATTGCGAGTCGGGCACTCCGGCTTCAAGCCAACAGACCACGAGCACTTTTTATGATGCAGTTTTTTTTTTGTCACTGAGCAGATCAAAATGATTTAACACGCATACTTGTTTACACACAATGATTGGTCAGGATTGGACGCCAGTATCTTTGCGGAGTTAGCTCAGAATCCTGGCACGGGCCTCTGAGCTATTGGGTTATCTCACTTTCATGCTTTCAATAGTAACTCAAAGGCTTGCCCATAACCAGGGCTAATTGGGGTGGTGTGGTGAGTGTAAGTGTCCCGTCTAAGTGTGTGTGCAAGCAGTGGAGGCTGTGAATGCCATTAAAGTACAGAACGTTGATTTGCTGATGGCACAGGGACATTTATTTATCTATTGTGCTTATATCCATTAAAGATTTCTGAGTTTCAGTTCATTGTTTAAATACATTGTGCCTAGTGGAATAAATAAGGTTAGTATAAGGCATGGAATGGGGTGATTCTATGAAAGTGGTAGAGACAGGGCGATTGATGTATAAGTATTTCAGAAGGAATTGAGACCTGGGGACATATGAGACCCGGTTTTCCAAAATTCTGTTCCGAGAAGACAACGTGGTATTTTAAACTGCGGTCAACAGGACACTTTATAATTCCATATACAGTACATCATGTCAAAAGCTGTGCTCACGTTATTCAAAATGACACTAAATTAAGAGTTGACAGTTGGGATGAAAATGTACTGAATATCATTTTTAAGCTCAGATGTTTACAACAATTCCATAAGGAATCTTAAAACGATCTGAATGTACTGCACTGCACGCGATGATCTGCCAGATATTAACACGAATATATTATCACAAAGTAAACTACCTAAATGCCTCATTGTGGCCAAAATCTTGGTCTCCAAGAACTGATTCCGAGGTTGAAAAATGGCTTCATATTCCACCTAGCCTTTGATTTCACAAGCTGAGAGACGTAAAATGTTCACATTGGTTCCATCCTTTTAGCAAGGTATTGTCCAATTGGAAGTACAACAATATCATTAAATTTCGATTTAAAGCTTTCGTGACTGCAGGGATTCATCTTCTTGGTTCTTTCGGTAAAGTCACGTAGAATGGAAATAATAAAATAATAAAAATACAACATAAAAATATAAGTTTATTATGTTATTATTTCCATTCTACGTGACTTTACCGAAAGAACCAAGAAGATGAATATTATCATGGCTTATCTATACGAGCCAAGAATAAATATAGTATAGGGCAGTGGAGAAGAGAAGTGACTTTGCTCTAAGGAACGCCCTTTGGTTCACAGGACCTATTGAAAGCTGTTTGGTCTCTAGCACCACGACTTGTCTGGAGGACATTCTCACATCTACATCCTCTACACACCATCAAGAGCCCACTCATATGAGCGACTCGCATCGCTACGCTGTGCGATGGTCACGGCTGTTCTATGCTGTATCGGGAGTGCATGGTGTTTTTCAGTTGAATACAGTTTCTCACGTGAAAGAAAGTTACATGAAAGAGGTTCCATCTGATCTGAAGATTATCAATTCACAATGCCTCTGAAACATATGGTTTAAATCTCTCTTAAAACCTACAAGAGCTAAAGTGGGTTACAATTATAGCCTACCCAGATTGCTTATGTCGAAATTAAAGCTAAAATTAATCGTGCCCACAATTGAAACCCACGATAGTAGCACGTGTTCATTACCTCCAATTGGACGCCCTTCAGAGATGATCCATTTTATTCGTGGACTTAAGCTCATGAATATGAATACAAATACATTTTTGAACAAGTGACATGCCAATAATGATTGGAGGAAATCTCAAATAACCGTTGAATCGAATCATTTCAATCGAAAAGGAAGAAAGTCTAAATTTAGTGAGTGTTCATGCCGAAATCAAAATGGTTCACGCACGCTCCGTGATGCTGCTGCTGATGCTGCTGCGTGCCTTGGAGTCGGGTGCAGCCCACGGGCTTGCTGCTCGCCGTGGGATGGGTGATACAACTGCCAATGAAGATGGATAGGCTGTAACCACCTCATTGCTGTTACTTCAACAAAATTCACAGCTCTTCACATTATCATGCTACGTTAACACTGAAATAACACTTAAATAAAGCACACGCACGCACAATAACACTGCAATAACAAACAATGCACTCCAAACAGTAACAATGCAATGACTACAATAGGAGTAGAATACAACGTCAATTGTATAGATGCAAGTTGTCAATGACCATGTGTCAGTGCAACGCTGCAATGTTGATAACCTTATAAACGATGACACTTCAAACGATGACATGCTTCTGCACCTCCGATTAGCACGGTTTGCTATGTACGGCACGAAAGAAGTTCAACACGCGTACAACATCTGCCACAATCACCAGGTGGTAAACACTACAATTGTTACCTTTGTAACCGTGAACCGTAAGCGAATAATGCATTAACCGAATGGAAATCGTTAAATTGGACTTCTAAAATTAATCGAAGAAGTTTAGTGTTTCGTTTGAGACTGACGGTACACCGTTTGTGACACGTGCAGCAGTAAGCGTCGCGTCATCAGCTGCCCTCGCTGTAGACCGCCCCACACAGTCACTTTCATTCACAATTGAAGTATTGTTTTGTCTCACTTGTTTCACTTGTTGTTTTAATTATTGTTGCGGCGTTCAAAGTGTTTATTGTTTCTATGCCACGAGCTGTGGACGTTATATATTTTTCACCAAAAATCGAAAGTGTGTTCTTCGCTTAAAATTGTGCTCGCTACAGAAATGGTTGATTTATTGGCAAAACAATATTCATTTGTGGAATAAAAAATATTCGATTTATACTGCATGCGTACGAGGGCTGGATTAGCATCTTCGTCTTACTCGGCGCTTCCTACTTTAGCAGCATATGCCACATAATATATGCCAAGAGAAACAAGAGCTATGTGTGAAGTTAAATGGCAGATGGATATACCACGATTCATTCGAAAACCTTAACAGTATTATCGTACAATGTTATATATATAAAGCACCTGTCCCGCATATTAATTACACCTGCCACGAATTATATTTCTGTGTTTCTCGGTATATTCCAGCTTCAAGCACTTTCACCATCAGGTTTCTGATTTAGCCAATGTCATAATAGTTTAGTGTCTCTTTAACTGTTTAAAAATCCCCTAAACTAGAGGGTTTTTTAACTTCTGTACATTGACTTTTACAGACTTTAATTCTGAATATGGGTTTTTTGTGGAAACAACAAAGTTACTTTTTACGTGCCCTTGAACTTTCTCTCACAATGTAAAACATTAAATGCAGTTTTTTTTTACAATGTTTACTTTATAACCTAACAACAAAACATGCTTATCGCAGCGTCTTCTCAAAATTGCCTTGAGCGTGCAGAGTGATTCTAACGGCGCACACGAGTGGGGACTTCCCGTCTGGATGTCCGGCACCCGTTTCCCACACAACTGTAAGCAGTTGCCTGTAATGTGAAAGTTTTTTTTTAATCATGCCTACTTTAGAGGGTTTTTTTTTTGACAATTTAAGTGTACGTTTTTGCCAAATTAAACACTGAACAGTTAATAGATGAAGAAACTAAGATTGATAGAACATGCAGTATTGTGTCCAGCTCATAAAATATAATAACTGTTTTAATGTTTTTTGTGTATTTTTGTAATTCTGAATGGTTCGTAACACTATGCAAATGAAAGACCTGAAAACCCTGGTTTAAAAATAAAATGACTTAAAAAAAATAAAAAATTGGCTTAAATTGCTGAAAAGTCAGTACTATATTAAAAAAACCTAACCTCTACTCCGTGATGACAGCTGGGATGGGCACCTGTGTCATTTAAACATCTGTAACTGAAATTGTCTTGCTCGTCTGCGTGACAGTTCCTGTGTTACTATAGCCTACTAAGAATTGTTTTAAAATCTGCGTTTATTTTTCATCTCGCAAAGTTAACAATCTTCATGGAGTTATTGCACAGTTAAATAATACACACAATGGTATATCTTAATCATTCTCAAGATTGAGCAGACATTCCTACAACTTGATCAATACAGACGGCACATGCCACGGATGGTACCCAAAACGATGGTATTGTGTGCAAGTGGCCCGCTACCATTTCATGATGACACAACTTTACCTAATTAGACGTGTACATCAGGCACAAGATATATGGGCGGGCTTTAGAGAAGACGTTCAATGTAATGTATCCACGACGCTGGTGAAATCCACTGGTAGTGCAATGTTTGTGTCAAAATCCCACCAGCAGTGTAGAAGGTCTGGATGAGTAAAACTGGTGTACCTTGGGGGTCAGCTGTTGACTCCCAACAACAGTTGATGGGTCGTACAGAAGGACGGAAGCGTTGGCGAGGTGTGGTCGCATCAACGGCACGATCGGTGGCGGCGGTGGTGACCTCTCGACCTCGACTGCAACAGTGCTGGCACCAGCAGGGGCTCGCTATTGTCCTGCTTCGACTGGCAGCGAGAGGCTCCTTGGCACGCGTGTGGGCTGTACGTAGCCACCAGAGTCCACTGAGCAGAGAGTTCACCACGCCTGCAGTGGAGTCCGAGGGGAAAGTGAGTGGGCAGAGTAACAAAGAAACGCCGTGTGTGTATATGTGGGGAGCGGTGGTGTAGCGGTTAGCGCGCTGGACTACGAACCCGGCGACCCGAGTTTGATTCCCGCTCACAGCCAACACCAGTAACGATTATCTGAATCGGTCCTGGGCCTCCCCTAGGTCGACTCAGCGTCACATGAGTGCTTGGTGTGGTGTGTAAAACATCACAACTGGGGAGACAAAGGCAGGCGGGCGTAGTGCTGGCCACCGACCCCCTCGTGAGCCGTGTTGGCCTTCATAGGTGCTCGCTAACAGCACTTGCTCAAATAGTCTATTCAGGCTACACGGGGAATTTTAGTTGTTGGACATGTTGAACTTCTTTCGCACCGCACGTAGCCAGCTGTACTAATCGGAGGTGCGGGGGAAGGACATCAACCTAAACACAAAAACCAGTTCTTAAGAAATTAGTTTTCAATCTAGATTTAAAAGTAACAAAACAAAAACAAGACGTTTCAGTCGCAACACAAGCGTCCGTCTTCAGGACGACCGAAACGTGTTTTCTTTTGTTATTTTTTCTACCTGCGTGACTTTACTGAAAGAGGCAGAGAGTATGGATTCCTGCAGTCACGAAAGCTTCAAATCAAGACGAGATTTAAAAGCGCACAGCTCCCCAGTGGGTTCTGAAAGCGGTCACCGCCGTGTCCGTTCGATGGCTGAGCCAATATCTGCCGCCGCTGCGAGCATCACCATCGGAGTTCACGGCATGCCACCAAGTTCGTGTTGGTTCATAGACGCTCGTTGTACGGCCGACCGAGTGCCCTGCGGGGGGGGGGGGGGGTCCCATGGCAGCGTCACCGAGACTGATCCTCGGTTCGAGGCCAGGTTCTCTGATGTCTCGATGGTTCTCGTGCGCCATGTGTTCATTAAAACAATCCTAATCGTGTATTAGGCGTGTGCGTGTAAGCCTTTAACATGCTCTTGCTCAAAATAGATTATTTTTATTATGGTCATAAACACGCACAAAACTCTTTATCATCCGATGGATTTTTAAAAGTGATTATGCTAAGACTGATAATGCCGAGTGCATTCAATTTGTGTAAAGGGAACGTCCTCTGCAGATCAGAGCTTCATTTAAGCCGGAGCTGTCCCGGGTGGTGGGAGGAGGGTTGCCCACAATGCCGACGACACTTGTCTCTTGCCTGTGATAAGTCACCCGAGCGTTCTCCAGCCTCAACCTTGCTTATCTTCCCACGTGCGATGAGAACGCATCGCCCGTGGCGTCACTGTGATCATCAACGCAAAACTCATTTCAGCAAGCACGCTCTTCTCGTCGAGCTGAAGCAGTCCGCGCGTGAGACCGAGAGGAGAGCGAGGGTTGGGGGGAGTCCACGCCAGCGGACGAGGCCACCACGACTCGAGCCGCCTTCCCCCCCCTCCCGCGTACCCAAGGTCTGGAAGATGCCTCCGGCGAGACCGCAGAGCCTCACGGCGAAGTGCGCGTACGAGACGCTCTCCTCCGCCACGAGCACGCGCAGCGGGGCGAACGAGAAGCGCACGAAGATCCCTGCGACACGCGCACAGCAGCGACACGAGCGGAGGCTGGGGGTGAGGTGGGGGGGGGTCCTCCTCACGGTCTCGGCGTGCGAGACGACGACAGTGGCTTGACGCGTTCGCAAGGGGGGCAGCCCAATCCAAAAATGTACCACGATGGAATTTTTTTTATTTGAAGAGGAGAAAAGGGTGGGATGGTGGGCGTGGTGATTGGGGGTGGCATGAGACGGAGGGTGTGTGCAAAGGAGACATGAAGGTGGTGGGATGGAGAGTAGATGACGAAGGTAGTGGGATGATGGAGGAGTGATTGAGGTGGTCAGATCAAGGTGGGGCGGGATGATGGAGGAGCGATGCCGCTGGTGGAATGGGGCTGGTCTGCGGTTGGTGAGATGGGTGGAAGCTAACTACCTCCCTCTTCCTGATGACAAACGCTTGTGTTGCGATCGAAACGTCGTGGTTTTTTATGATTTTCTTTGAACCCATCTACGTGACTTCACAGAAAGACTCAAAGAATATGAATTTCTGCAGTCACGAAAGCTTTAAGTCAAGATTTATGGGTGGTAGGATTGAGATGATGGGATGAGGAAGGGTGAGATGGAGATGGGATGCAGACTGAGGGATGTTGTCGGCTGGGCTTAGTGGCAGGGTGTGGGGTTGGGGTTGGTGAGCGAGTTATTGGGTGGCATCGAGGCAGTGCAGTTCATCTGTTGCAGGAGATGGGAGGTTTGATGCAGGATGGATCAAATGGTGGGATGTCAGGTGTGCCCGAGGGAGGCAATGAGGTAGAATGGTGATGGCATGGAGGGTGGATGTGGGGTGGAAGGAAGCGTGAGGCCAAGGTGGCTCAGCGTTGTGGGCGGTGTGGGCGTGTGACGTTACCTGGGACGGTGTGCCTGCGGTAACGGCCTGGTGAGTAGTCAGTGTCTGCCACCACGTGCTGCAGTGAAAGGGTTGCCCGGGGTAAGGGGGTGTGAGAGGCGGGAGTCATGTCATCACAGTAAACTCGCAAGTTCTGCTTGTCCGGTCCTCCTCGTAACATTTTGTACAGGTGGCTTTTGCCTGACTTGGACCTGGTTTATTTGTCTCAAGAGAGGTGGGTCCTAGATTTGAAGCTTTCGTGACTGCAAGCATTCATACTCTTAGGTTTTTTCGGTAAGTCACGTAGGTAAAAAATTAATAATAATAATAATAAATAAAATAAAAATAAATGAAAATAACTTAATTAGATCACGACGTTTCGGAGGCAACACAAGTCTCCGTCTTCAGGTGGGACCGTCACAGTGAAATTGATACAGTAAATCACTTGATACAGTAAATTTGGCTGTGACGGTCCCACCTGAAGACGGAGACTTGTGTTGCCTCCGAAACGTCGTGATTTAATTTAGTTATTTTCATTTATTATTATTTTATTATTATTAATATTATTATTTTTTACCTACGTGACTTTACCGAAAAAACCTAAGAGTAAGAGGTGGGTCCCTTATTACGATAAACACTTTAACAAACACTGAATAACCATTACGCTTTATTGTGGAGAATGTATGGGACGTGTGCGTTATTTAACTTTGGGGTTTGTGTGTGTCTGTGTGTTTGGACTGTTGTCCTTCCCCTCGCACCTCCGATGAGCACGGTCGGCTTACGTACGGTGCGAAAAAGGTCCAACGCACATTCGGGAAAGATCACCACCGGCTGCTGGTAGAGTACTCAACTTGGCAGAGAGACTACAGTGTTTATTTTATTTTAGCAGATAAGGCCCACTGAGCTATGTAGCTATTTTCTAGAAGCCACCTGGCCACAAGTAATAGCCCAACAAAGAGGCTTATCACGTGGAAAGTTATAGCAGCCAAATACTCTAAACGCACGTTGATTTTAAATGTAGGGCTAAAGCCCGGAGAAAAATCCACGCGACCACAGAGAGAGAGAGAGACGTGCAACCTCAAAATAGCCACCGAGCGTCAAGGGTCGGGATCGAACCCACGACCTCCTGTGTACCAGGCGAGGTAGTGAACATCCCCACCTGCTCCGTGACGGAGTACTGATGCGTGTCGACGTGTGCGCTCCGGGTGCGCACGCACGTGGGCACCACCTGCAGGAAGTACTGGAACTTCTGCATCTCTGCGAAGACAGACGGCGAGGTGGATAAGGTGGATGAGGTGGAGCAATGAGGCAGGCAGCCCCCAAACCCCCAACACCACCACCCCCAACGACTGCTGCGATCAATTTACATTCAAGTTCCTATGATCACTGTTACATTGTTTTTATAGCTTTATTTTGGTGATTTTGAAAACGTTCTGGTTTAGCCATGTTTGTTTGTTGTAGTACAGAGTTAGACTGATACCTTTAATCTAAATTGTCTTATGGTTGTTATCGTTTGACTTGCATCCCACTGGAATTTTTGCACACCGCGTTAAAATACGGTGTTTTTTCTGGAAGACTTTGCTCTTTTTTCCTGGATTTTTCTGTTGCGTGTAGACACTTTAAGATGTCTCTTGTTCATGTTTTTGTTTGTTGCGGTTGCATCCGAGTCAACAGCCGCATGGCTCACAGGGTTATACCTAATAAATGAAACTGAAAACCCGTTCGCGCATGCCGTGCGCAATTGTGGGGCGGTAGCAATTTTGATGATGGGCATTGCAATGCTCGCGCAAGAGCCGTTCCAGGTATACGAGTCGTTTACGTGTGCGGTGCGGCGAGCGGTGGTGGCATGCTTAGCGAAGCGGCGCTAACAACCCGGCCACCCGAGTTCGATTCTCGGTCACACGTTAAAATCGTTGAACACATATCTGAACCCATTCTGACACAATCCTTCGGTCGACTTCGCCTTAAATTGAGTACCGGGGAGACGGAACTACACAGGGAATGGTTCTGGCCACACCAACCCCCTCGTGAACCATGTGGCCCTTCATAGGTGCTCGCTAAGAGCACTGTCCCAACAGTGTGCATGGCTATACGGGGGATCTTTGTGCACGTGGTGGGCACGTGGTGGGCACGTGGTGGGCACGTGGTGGGCACATGGTGGGCACCTCGTGTGGCCGTGCGCGCGTCCCCGTCGAGCGCGTTGACGATGCCCGGCGCGCGCTGCCCGAACGACAGCTCGTCGATGCGGTGCGAGAAGTTAAAGCCTGCGGTGGCACGGCACCACAGCCATCGTCATCATCACCACCACCACCACCGTCCACCTCGTCACCTTCATCACCACCAACTTCATCATCATCACTACCACCACCGTCCACCTCGTCACCTTCATTACCACCAACTTCATCATCACCACCACCATCGTCCACCTCGCCACCTTCATTACCACCAACTTCATCATCATCACTGTCTGGGGCTGTGGGGTAACCCCATGAGCCACCCGCTGAGGTTGGTCATCGATGTGCGTGTGTGTTGAACTTCTTTGCACCGAATGCAGCCAACTGTGCTCATCGCAGGTGCGTGGAGGATACTCACTTTCCTCGGGCAACATGTAGTGCAGGATGTGCGCGTGTCCGTGGCGGTGCCCCCGTGACCTGCACACAGATGCGCGTGAGCGTGAAGGGCACGGTAAGGTCACGCGCTGTGCGGATGTTGCAGTACGGCAGATGAAACAGGAAATTATATGGAAGATGGTGAAACGGGAGATGATAGCGGAGATTAGATGAGAGGTAAGATGATGTGGAATGGAAGATGAGATGGGAGATGATATGTAAGATATGGGAGATGATATGTGAGATGAGATGGGAGTTGAGATGTAAGATATGAGAGATGATATTTGAGATGATAAGAAGATGAGATGTAAGATATGTGAGATGAGATGGGAGACGCTACATTGAACTTGCGCGTGCACTTACTTCCCGGGGACGATGTGGAAGTTTCCGGGCACCTGGAGAAAATAATCTGAATCAAAACACGTGCGGGAGGACAATGAATCACCCCAGGGCCAGTCGCTCCCACACACGCACCCGTTCATACACCCCCCATGGTGCTATACATTGCAATGGCGTTGACCGGGTGTAATCTGAATAATGTTACCTGCCTGTCTTCAACGAGAGAGAGAAATTGTTCATAACTCTGCCACGTGCCCCCACGCATTGACTCAGCTCACCCTCTGCATCACTCCTCCACGTGTTCTACGAGCATCGCTCGCCACGTAAACAAAGTGGCTACCGCTCGTCGTCCGCGTTCGTACTCTGCCCCCCCTCCTACCCCTCCGTCAGCCTTGCGCGTTGTCCACCACACGTCCACCGGCGTCCGTCACCTTCTTGGTGATGAGCGTGCCGTGGATGCGGCACGCGTCCGGCTCGCGGTCCGGCAGCTCCCCCCCACTGCTCTCCTCCCTGTGCCGGGGCAACGAATTCGGGGCAGGGGTCAGAGGTCGGCGATGGGGGGAGGGGGGGGGGCTCCGTCACCGATTACGTTGGGAAGAGTGAGAATTCTCATTTACAGGACCACGCATGCCGTGGCGTATCGTCAGAAGGAATCACCTGGGTGACGAGTGGCTCACCCACTGGCTCACCTGGGTGACGAGTGGCTCACCCACTGGCTCACCTGGGTGACGAGTGGCTCACCCACATGGCTCACCTGGGTGTCTCACCCAGGTGGCTTATGTGGGTGGCCCACATGGGTAGCTCACCTGGGTGGCCAGCCTGGGTGACTTGCCTGGGTGGCTGAACCAGGTGGCTCACCTGGGTCGTTCACCCAGGTGACTCATCTGGGTGACCCACCCGGGTGGTTAACCTGGTCGGCTCAGGCCTCACCTGGGCGGCATGCGCTCGCTGAAGCCCTCCTTGAAGAGCACGTCATGCAGGCCCTGCTCGACAGCGAGGCGCACCTTGAGAGCCTGCACTCTCCTGCACGGGGAGGTGAGTCGGGGGGGGGGGGGGCAGGATCAGTGAGTGCGGGCGGCGAGGGAGACACGGGGACCAAGGGAGAGTGCCACGAAAGAACACAGTGAGGGGACAAAGCGATGGAGGAGGCAGGAAGACAGAACACGATAGAGGGTGGTGTGTGGACAGGTGTGGACAGGTGGGTGCAGCATGTAAAGTGCACCTAGCTTGGTACAGTCACCGTGGTAGCATCGCTGCCACTTGGTGCCGAATGGCGGCCGCTGTTGTTGCTGCAGGAGCACGGTGTGTGGTGCATGAAGGTGTGCGTGCATACAGCAGTGGCGCGTTCAGGTGTGTTAAGCTTACAGGTGTGGTGCTGTGCGGTGCATACTGGTGTGCTAAATAAATACAGGTGTTTGCAGGGTATAGGGTGGAGAACGTGTGAGGGTACAGGTGCTCATAAGGTGCGTGTCACTTGGGCTCCACTCACTCCTGCCACCTCCGCTGGTTCTCGCTCAGATCGAAGTAGGCCTGGGAGGTGGGCGGTGATGGACACGCACACACGCACGTGAGTTGACGCACACACACACACCTGAGTTGACGCACACACACACCTGTGGTGCACAGGTAACTACCGTGGCGTCGTTCAAAGCAGAGTAGACCACGTATGCCGGCTTCCTGCCGGATTTACACGCGACAGTAAAGCCCGTCGCATGACAGTCAGAGCAATGCTTCATTCCCAGAGCTGGAATTTTTAGCCAATGCATGTAGAACTAAATATAATCGGATGATATTTTTTTACGAGCAGTCATTGGTGACCGGGCTAAGACCATGTATGTTGAACTTATTCAGCACCGTACGTAGCCAACCGTGCTAATCGCAGGTGCGGGGGAAGGACAAAAACGAAACACTCCATCTGAGACCAAACTTTATTCATTGATGGCTTGCTTGTATTCAAGCCCAGGTTCTCGGTGGTGCCGGCCCAGTGCTATGTGTGACCTCTGAACCACCGGACCACCTTATGTCTCCTACATCTTAGTGTCAATTCAAAGACCGTGATGCCTCCTTGGACAGCGAAGCCAACATCCCATTTACACCCCAGCTGCTCGGTGGCTGCTGCCTGATCTGGAGGGCAGTGCCCCTCTGCCAGGTGGGAATCAGGATTAAGTTGGGGTTGACAGAAAGATAAACCAAATGAGACAATATTGGTGTGTAGTTACAGGCTGCTCTGCAACAAGCCCAGGGGAAATCCTATCGTGGATAAGAGACGTGTATGTGTGCCATGAGGTGCTCGCTAACAGCACTTGCCCCTACAGTCTGTTAAAGCTATACGGGGGATCTTTGTATTTGTCTTTGCCATGAGACCTTGCGAATGCTTACCGGTTCCTCGTTCAGTGAGCCTGCATAGTTACCGAAGAGGTCCACAGCATCCCCTCCTATATCTGAAGGGGAGGACAGGTGCCAAAATACGACGGTAACTGTGTCACTTTTGGGGGAAAGTGTCACGTGAGCACCTAGTATGGTCTACGTGGCCCGCAACCGAAAACATTCATCAGCCCTTGTGTTCCGAACACGCGAGTTGACACACAAAGTGCACCATGTTAGGGTGGGTTCACCAATGGGAAAACTGGCTCTGCGTACAGAGTCCGGCTTTGATCAAGATATTGGCTTTTTGCGCAAATGGTTTCTGGCAGCATTGCAAAAGCAAGCAAATGCTTGCAGGCCGATGGGCCAAACTGCCCGCGGCTGGTTCAGACATCACTAGCCACCGATGTTCGTCATGGCCAGGAATTAAACTCAGGCTACCAGGTCCATAGTGCAGCGCTCGAAAGAATGTGCCACTGCTCCACCCCCGAGAGTTGCACCCGAAACATCTTTTATATAAAAAAAAATGATATTGTATCTTCCCATCCACAATATCACTTATCGACACTCAGCTGTGTGCATCACACATGGATGTATAATAACGTGACAATGCTTACACTTGCATGCCATGGCCACTGTGATGTCTACATTGATGAGCAGTGACCTGGGAACACATGCACATCAACGCACATCAACGCACACGTAGATATTTTCTGCCCTCTAGTATTGAAGTTGAAGGGGGTGGTGTGGCCAAACAACCAATGTATAGCTTTAGTTCAAGTTCATTTTGTTGTACCAGAGTGAGACCTCAAGAAACCAGGGTAGTCTCATTGTGCAAGAGTGACCTGGGGAATTCTTTTGCCAATCGGGGGCAATGATTGCTCTGTACAATCCAGATTTAGGAATTTGCAGGTAATATTCGAACATGGCAAATGTCGGCCCTGACGTCGCCCCACCCTGGCCTTACACTCTTGCGATGGACTTATGTTCTGGCACCGTCGGCCACTGACGTGTATGGAATTTAGCAAAGTGCAGTCAGCGCCGAGTCACCGTCCACCACGCAAGTAACATCGCCGCCATCCGAATCGTACTATTCCATCAGCGCCACAATCACGGCCACTATTTACCACAGCAGAACAAATCAGAAGCAACATCAGTAGAACGATCAAACACGGCTATCATCACCAGCTTCTTCAGCCTGTCATGCAGCACCACCATCTGAAGCATCACCATCGATCTCCATCACCAGCTCTACCACAACACGTATTAAATCTCTCTAATGCGTGTGTGCGTCTCTCTGCTCCGACACCTTTCACTCTCCGTGCCACACACAGACAAAATATTGTCCCATTCCCTTTCTCTCCGTATGGGAATGAGGGTGTCGAACTCACGCGTTGTGCTCGTGGTCTGGCCTGAATGAGTAGCGCATGTGTGTGGAGCGGAACTCCCGAAACTCGGACAGCAGCAGCAGGGAGATGAAGGCGATGCTCCAGAGTGTGGCTGTACCGGGGGAGGTGAGGGAGAAAGCCAAGGAGGTGGCAGCCCGCGAGTCGGTGTCATCTCGGAGCGGCGTTCGGTTTAACCATCGAACAAAGACGGCCACTGCATCGCGCGCTTTCAGGTGCGCTTCTGCGGCCGTCTGGAACGATCTTCCAGCACAGGACACCCCACATGTTTTTCGCACCGCGCATTATCTATTTTGAAGTTCAGGCTCTAAAATGTCCCACGTTCTGCTTGAGGATGTTGGCTGGCCATTGAACAAAGACGGTCGCTGCTTTCTGGTGCGGTTCTGCGGCCGTCTGGAACGCTCTCCTTTCGATATTAGGGATCCACTGGAGCTATGCACTTTTAAACCGAGATTTAAAACTTATTTCTTTAGAACTACATTGTTTCGCGTGAGACGTGAACGTGTGGGAGGAGTGTGGTCAGTACCGGCTGCCCCCAGGGCAGATGTCTCACGGAGGCCCTCGGGGAGCTTGGGGAAGGCGTCCAACTCCTGCGGGGCGGGCGGGCAGGAAAGGAGATCACCGTCGCATTTGTACGGGACGCTTTTTTTTGTCAGTATCAAAAAAAGAACAATAGGTTTAAAGGGGCCGTCCATAAATGACGTCACGCGATTTTTGGGGCGATTATTGACCCCCCCCCTCGTCACACGGAGTCACAAAAAGTCAGACCCCCCCCCTCAAATATGACGTCACAAAGCTCTGCCCCCCCACAAATAAAACACGCTTCAAAACGCTTTAAACTATTGTCATTGTAGTGCGTATTTTATGTGGCGCTGCACTCTGATGTTGTAAGAGAAAACATTTATTAAAAAGTATATTTCATTAAGCAGAACGTGTTGTCTATATTTATTTAAAGTTACGCATTTTGATGTGACGTCACATTTCTCAAACCCCCCCCCCCCTTCGTCACACATCGTCACAAATGTCTGACCACCCCCCTAGGTGCGTGACGTCATTTATGGACGGCCCCTAAGCCAATCAGTTTCAGAGACAATGCCAACATTATCACAGTTTGTTTATTCGCATGTTTTGCCACAAGTACGTGTGGTTAATGCAGACTTGACGCCTCGCCAAAGGTTTATATTTGGTGTTTGGATATCTTAATACCTATCTTATTTCCAGAAAGGGCAAAACCTTAATAATATAGGTTTTTTGGGTTAGATCGCGAAACATAAATGTGTCCTTAAACCCGCCACCACCCGACACAGCCAATTAGTAAGGTTTGTCGCGGAAACAGAACATGCCAATTCGTTACTATTATAGCACAAGCCACAATATTTACAATGCGAGCACGACATTTCGTCAGTAATTACGAGCATCATCAGGCGACAGCCAGAATTAACCTATTGTTACATCGTATTCATTACCGCCACAAATACCACAATACTTACAGTACCTCAATGTTCCCAAACAACATTAGCAGCAGCTGCACAACCACTAATAACGTGTCCAAAGAACCAACGTCAGAATGGCCATCAACAAGAGTGGAAGACTTTGGCTTTAATTACAGAGCCATTAAGTTTATCATCATCACCACAAATGATCAATTTATCAACATAAACGAAGAGGCTCAGAGTGTGGATGAGAGTTCTTAACCCCAGGGTCTAACTCATGTATCCAATCTTATCAAACGAGTAGTAATGGTCATGTGTGCCTTTGTCGTGTTGTCTCAGCACATCATCCTTTTGGGGGTAGATAAAACACTCAACTACTTTTGTTGTTTAATGTATGCCAGTGGTCAGCCTAGCTGGACCCCGTCATGGGAACATAGAACTTCAACTGCTGGCTGGAGATCACGCAGCGCAAGGGAGATATTGTGACTTTGATTCGGTTCGCATTCAGATGTTCGACACTTACAAATCGTGTTGTACTCTCCCAGATACTGGAGAAGCTCTGTCTGTACTCTGCTGTACTTGGAAAGGTTGCGTGGACTTTGCTAATATGATCACATGTTTGCATCCTGACTTTGAAAGTATTATTTTGCAGTGATTACTGTATGTTGAACTTCTTTCGCACCGTACGTAGCCAACCGTGCTAATCGGGGAAATTACAACAAACTAAACACAAAAAGCAGTTCTAAAGAATGAGTTTTCAATCTACATTTAAAAGCGCATAGCTGCTGTGGCGTCCTATTGTTTTCACGCAAGATGTGCTATAACCTGTTTTGGCAAACACACCGTATCGGATGATGGGTTATTTTACCATACTTCGCCACGCTGGTCAGTCCGGGCTGGTGAAGGTGGGTGGAGGTAGGAGGACGAGGCCTAGGACCCGGTTGAGATATCACTCATCACCAGGCCCGAATATACCACGGAATAGCTTCCACTGACAGCCCCGGCTGAAACGAATCCCCGCTCACCACCGATGGAATTCGTGACCGGGAATTGAACTCAAATGGGCGAGTTCACGGCGCAGTGCGCTCACCGTCACGCCATCGCCCTCGTGTCGCGCTACGTTAGGTGACACCTGACACCTTTAGAACACCTGTCCCTTACCTGACCCCCAACCGCCCCTCCCCATCAACACCAGCCCTCAACCCCGGTCTCACCTTGATGAGATGAAATCTCCGGCTCGGAATCGCACCGAGTAGCCTTCTCCGGCGCATGATGGATAACGTCGCGACAATGGAGCGATGTGTCCGGGATGACGACCCCCATCCTCTCCCGTCGGCTCCTCTCACACCTCCCTCCCCCCAATTCCCGGATCCACGACGAATGGCCACGTGGCACCCACGCTCTCTCAAGTGCCTTCACCGAGACCGAGTCTACACGAGTGGCCCAGGACGTGGTGGGAAATGCCACATTCCTATATCGGGAGAAGATATCTCCACAGGATATTCATATTGACTTACCACAAATTGGTACTCATTTTTTTTTATCAACCCCCGATTGCGAGTAGAGCACGCTGCCACAGCACTGCCGAGTTAAGATAAATACCCTTTAGAACCTATAAGAAATTTCGATGTAAAGCTTTCGTGAATGCAGGGATTCATCTTCTTGGTTCTTTCGGTAAAGTCACGTAGAATGGAAATAATTGTTTTATTTTTATTACTTTATTTCCATTTTACGTGACTTTACCGAAAGAACCAAGAAGACTATACGAAATTATTTCATATATTGGTTGAAATTATTCAGTGTAAATTGCACGAGATCCATATACGTTTATTAAACATCAATAAAAGCACAGCAGCTTATCATCTGGCAGTGAAGGTTTTTGGCATTAGTGGAAATTCCGAGCAACATACCTGGAGGGCTCCAGTTGGTAGGATTAAGGTTGGTAAAATCATGGAAACATTTTTTTGTAAAGTTTTAAATCCTGAGGTTAAAAAAAAACATCCTTATAAACGAATTCTATAATTTCAAGCAGGGTTAAGGAAATCGTTGCCAGGAGCAGATGGAATAATTTTAGTTTTAACTGGCATTGTAAGGCAAAAAGCAAAACTAGAAATGAAAATTTGCATTAAAATGTCAATATGGACAGATGGTTAAGCAATGTCCAAAAGGTCGTGTCATTTTCGGGAGTTTTGACAAAAATAACACATCTATTGATATCAACATAGAAACGCGTGCCTTGCAAAAGTTGCGCACCCCCCCCCCTCCAACTGAGCACCATGTGGTTCTGGCTTACTTAAGAAAAAAACTATGCAACGAGCAAACTTAACAATAACGAGCAATTAAAGTTTGGTAATAATATGTAAACACAACGGTTTTTACAATGTCATGGGTTTGTTTAAATTCACGCAAATAATTATCCTTCGGCGTATCCGTTTCATTACCTCCCTGCCGTGCATTAAGAAGCAGAGGGCGATTCGAGCCAGCGAACTCTGGACCCCCCCCCCCCCACCTGCCGCCACCCCCCTCTGAGAGCTGCATGGAGGAACACGGCGACTTGGCATGGAAATTGCAACCCTCTTTTTAAAATACAAGTGCAAAAACACGCTGGCACACACAACAACGAGTGCCATCATGAGCATGTCGGGGGCAACTGTGATGGCCGGTTTACACGATTCAACTTCGTATAATAGCGGCAAAAGCGATGGCTATCGTTTATAAAACGCATACGCATATCCGGTTGTAACAGATGTCTGATGCGTTAGGTTTGTCATTTCCTCCGCACCTCCGATCAGCACGGTTGGCTACGTACGGTGTGAAAGTTCAACGTACGTTATATAATGGCAAAAAAGGTGAAGTTTGCTACAAGTCTTGTCGAGTATATCCTGGTAACAACAGCAACGTCTGAATATTAAAAAATCTTGGCCTACGTTTTGAATTCTGGGGGTTTTGAAGAGGGCCGCGATTCCAAATATGACATCAAAATATGGCTTTAAAAACATGGCTTTAAAGCCAAACGAAAGCAGGTGAAGCTTGCTGCTGGTTACTAAGCACATACAACATCATACTGAAGACATTTACAGTCGCTGCTTTTCAGCTTTGCAGGCACAATCGGCCCATCCGCTGTGCTGTGCGCCTATCTGTGCTTCATTCATATTGCTAGCCTGCTGCACACAGCTCCATGTCACAAAGCTATCGGGGAGGAAACCACGTGACAGTTCAGTAGATACAAGTGCAGGCCTTCAAACTGTCATTGCACGGTCGTGCGGCATGCTAAAAATATGAGGCGGAAATAACTAATGGCACATACAATAAACATGATACATTACTTAAAAACAAGTTTGATTTTCACCAAAGTATTATATGGTTCTGAGTTTGATTGAATTTAAAAATATTTGTTTTTAAAAGTTTGATTGGCTAGCCCATGAGTTTCCTGTGAACGGCGCTAACTTTTGCCAATGCATCATCAGCATCTCGCACCGCTGGTGCAGTGACAGGAGCGAACGCTGATTTAACTTAAAACACTGCAAAGCAAAGTGCGTGCAGTCCAGTGGACCAAGACACTCTTGTGTGGTTAGGTGCGAGTAAGGCTGTGTCTCCCAGGCTGACGGTGAAGACAATGTCAGTGGCCACTTCTGGGAGGAGGTCCTTGCACATGTCCATGAGCCTGGCCCCTGGGTCTCTCATCTGGGTGAAGCTGGTGTCCAGCACAGAGCTCCCAAGGATCCTGCTTGACAAGTGAACACGTGACGACAAGGAGGTCATTGATATCGAGTCATTGTCAACCACACACGTGTCAGCGGGTAAGTCTGTCGCGGTGTGTATTTGTGCACAGGCATTTCCAGGCAGGTGCAGCCAACTATTGTATGCATGTTGAACGTTTTCGCACCGTACGTAGCCAACCGTGCTAATCGGAGTACAACTATTCTAAAAGTGTGTCTTATGACGTGTTACAGGCATTCTCACCACGGACGGCTCCATGCCGTGGTATCGTGCCATGTGCTCGGCATCGCGAGCGTCGGACGTCTCGCACGCGCGCTGTCATGAGAGCGGAGACACCGAGAGCATGGACGGAAGACAAGAAGGGGCAGATTGTTAAGATTCAACAGCAGATCATGAAAACGGCACGACGTTGGTAGCGGTGGAGAAACAATAGGAAAGATTCTTGCTCAGCTTAAGAATAAAAATAAGTCGAGGCATATTGAGAAAATAAAGGTGAATTACGTTTTAAATAACCAGTGAGTGTTAACCTCTACATAAATATGAATCCAGTTTCCTGTTTTTAACATCTCCACAACACGATACACATAAATGCAGAAATTTTTGTGGGATAAAAATGATTGCATTTCCATAACGACCACGTGACCTCATCCAGCCAATCAGTGCCTGATATGTATGCAACAACAACACAACAGAACTTCAAAGATCCGCGGTGATTTGGAGGGAGGGTTTTCGCCTAGCCTGTAATCTGCAACACACCGTATTCGTGGCGAATACGTAAAATGAAAAAATTCATGAGAAATAATTGCCAGTGGTCGTGGAAGCGCAGCACTAGGCAAATGCGGGAAGTCACCTCGCAGAGCCAGGAGGCGCGGGCCAGGACGTCTGCCAGCGACGAGAACACGGAGTCCAGCTCCCCAGATGCACCACCTCCACATTGTCGGAGTGGACCCTGTCCGAGCATCAAAGACAAAGTTCCCCCCATATGTAGCCTTAACAGACTGTTGTGGAAAGTGCTGTTAGCGAGCAGCACATATGAAGGCCGGCAGCGGTACACGAGGGGCGATGTTTACAGACCGCACCAGGTACTCATTTGAGGCTGAGTCGATCTAGGGGAGGTCCGGGACGAGTTCAGATAATTGCCACCGGTGTTGGCCGTGAATGGGAATCGAACTCAGGTCGCCGGCTTCGTAGCGGACTGAGCTAACCGCGACACTACCGCACGCACACACACACACATTGAACAGAAGCATTACAATGTTACACAGGTCTTGCTGCCATCTGCCACTTATTGGCCGAAGCAGAGAAGCATTCATGAGTTGACTCTCTTTCTGGAAGTTTTGTGGATTGAGATATTTGGCCAAATCCATTTGTAACGAGTTTTTTTACGTATCAAAGGAGACAGCAATTATTAGAGAGAGGCTGTGCGTGGGAGGAGATAACATTCAAAGGATCGCGCAGATGGGTGCAAGCGCCCATTTTGCTGTACTGCCATCTCCCGGCCACGTACAGCCCTGGCAGGTTTGGGACATAATACATTTAAAAAAATACCCAAAATCTAGAAGGGAAGGGGGTGTGTTAATCTCTCCATACCTATAAGTGAGAGTGCGTGTTTGCCTATCCAAGGATAATATGAGTGGTAACACCTGAATTGGTCCTCCGCTCCCCTTCACCAAATGGTACCAACACCAGCGTGGTAAACCTGGTCAAACAACAACGCCAATGACTGGCACGGCGCGGGGAGGCCTTCATCTAGCAGGGGATTGACGGGTCGTGAATAAACAAGACACAATACACACGTCGTGCTGTGGGAGGAGAGCTCCATTACCTGCGGGGTGATGGGACGCTGCTGCTGCCGCAAGGGTCCCCTGGCGGGCTGCGGAGGTGTCCGGGAGGGATGCCGGTGGGGGGCTCGGCTGGGATGTCTTGTAGAGGGGGGCCAGCTGGGGCGCGGGCGGCCCACCCTTTCCAGGAGGCGGCGGCCCTGCTCAGCTGAGCGGCAGAGGGTACAGACGGGCGGCTCCCACTCAGCCTCCATGCGGTCTGCTGCTGCTGCTGCAAACAGAGACAAAGATCCACCTCCATAGTCTTAACAGAATGTTGGAGAAAGTGCTGTGAGCGAGCACCTATGAAGGCCGGCATGGCACACGAGGGGGTGGGTGGCCGGTACCACGCCCGGCCGCCTTTGTCTCCCCATTGGCGATGTTTCCACATCGCACCAGGCACTCATTTTAGGCGTAGTCGACCTAGGAGATGCCCAGGACCAGTTCAGATAATCGTCACTGGTGTTGGCCGTGAGCAGGAATCGAAAACGCTCACCTGCCCGCAGCTTCCCTCACGGGCAGGACAAACACCCAGGGCTTAGCGGGGCCGACAGCACAGACAACAAAACACAAACGCCATGGTGGAAGTGTTTATGGTAAACGTCAGTGCCCATTTTAGTGTTCAAGGAGAGGCGTTTCAGGGGCAGCAGTAGAGTCTGTGCTGCTGGAAGGTCTCGGAAAATTGGGACTTTTAACAAAGCAACTAGACGATAAATATCCGACATTTAATAAATCCGCATGTGCGTGCAGATAATATTAGGAACATTAGGAATTCCAGGGGAGCAGCATCGGTG